GCTGTACCGGGTGTTCAACCCACGCTTCATGATGGCGGCGGCAGCGCTGCTCGTCGTGGACATTGCCGCTATTGTGCTGGCGCTCGTGGGGCTGCGGTCCAACACGCTCGCGGTCAGTGAGGTGTTTGGCTGGGTGGATGACTATTAGAAGACGCGCATTGCCTCGACAATACCATGGGGTATAGTACGAGATTAGGAGATGTGTCCAGGGAGGTTGGGAAGCGAAGCATACGAGTTTCGTCCATACAGACGGCGCACTAATACGACGTTGAGAAGCGACTACGTAGCGCAGCTTTCGTCTCATCACTTTTGTATAAATATATAATGTGTACAATGTCCATTTTGCAACATTTTCATAGACTAGAGCCATCTGCTACAAAAGAATTTTAATTTTAATTTTTTAAAAAAATTCATACTCTATGAACTGTGAAGAGCAGAAACATTGGCACTGCGACGATGTTGCCTCTGGCACAGACTCTACATTGCAGCATACATGCGCTGTGGCACGATTTCCATTGGCCACAAAGCAGCTGCCGGCACTGGCCGACGAAAGCCTTCAGGCTAGGCCGGAACAGGAAATAGCAACCCGCCCTGGCTATGACCCACCTTCTTTCCTTGGATGTTTGACTGCGCACTTCCACTAACTCGGTCCTGCTTAAGACTCAGAAGGTGGTGACTGCCGAAACGCCATCGCCTCTTTCCCAATTTGCCCCCTTTCACGAACCACCAGACACGCGAAGAAAAAACAATAAACTTCCACGACCATGCACGCCTGCTAGTTGCCCGACCTCCTCCTCTTCCTCTCCGACTCACCATCCAATCCAATCGACACTATGCCCGCAGTCAGGCTGCTCGCGCTGGCGCCCGCGCCGGGCCAGCAGCTGCAGCTCCTACGTAGCGCCGGCAGTGCCAGCAGCAGCAGCACAACGAGGACAACGACAGCTGGACAAAGCAGCAGCTATTCTAAAGATTGGAACGGCCTTGCGTCTCCCAGAGTGCCGTCGTCATCCAGGGCCATGTCGACGAACGCCGCTGCCGCCGCCCCGCAATATCATCCGTCGACGCAGCCGAGCTGGTCCCGAGGCGCGTCACCCACGGCCGTGTCACCGTTCCTCGCGCGGGCACAGCGGCCATCCTCCGCCGCCGAAGCCAAGGCGAATACGCAGCGCCCTCGGATACCACAACGCCACCAGGCTCCAGCCGCCTGCAGAGCCTTTGGATCGGCGACAATGCCGAATCAGGTCGCCTTCCCGCGACACGGCAAGGCGGTTGCCCCACAGCAAACTCCCACGAACGAAAAAGAGGCAGCCGCCACAACGACATCGCCAATGACCGAGGACGCCACAGCAGAACCAACGACAGGAGGAGAACCAAAGCCTGCGCCAGCATCAGCGCCTACAAACGAGCAGCGACCGGCCAAAACGAATGGCAAGCGGACCAGAACAGCATCCAGCGGAGCCAAGGCAAAGCCGGCCGCAGCAGCAGTAGCAGCAGTAGCACCAGCAGATTCAGCAGAGCCAGCCGATCAAGCTCCTCCAGCGGACCAGACGATTCCGACTGCATCGATAGAACCTGCGGCATCGACAAGCGCGTCTGCGTCGCAAGAGGCGTCTTCAGTGGCCGTGGACGCGCAGGACACTCTGGGCCGCACAGACGGACCGACCACAACAGCTAAACCCACTGACCCCGCTGGTGTAGTAGCTGAGGCGGCAGCAACAGCAACCACCGCAGCAGAAACGGCCACTATCGCCGCCGCCATTCTAGACGGCACATCACCAGTAATCGAGCTTGGTCCGCCCAAGGTCACCATCGGCGCGATCCTCGAGCCGGGTCAGAAACAACAAGAGCAGGCTGATCAGCAGCAGCAGCAACAGCAGCAACAAAAATCAGGAGACCAAGGATCGTCGTCGCCACGCCAGCCACTGTCACAGAGCAAGCTGCTGCCACCGCACCTGACCACGCCGCCGTATGTGCATCACTTTGACAGCTACTCGCTGGTGAAGCAGCTCGAGGCCGGTGGTTACCGGCAGGGACAGGCCATCACGGCCATGAAGGCGGTGCGGACGCTGCTGGCGCAGAACCTAGATGTGGCGCAGACCGGTCTTGTCAGCAAGAGTGACGTCGAGAACGAGGCGTACCTGTTCAAGGCAGCGTGTGCCGAGCTCAGCATTGAAGTGCGGAACAACCGCCGGCGCGCCGACGAGCTTGTGCGTCAGCAGCGCACACTGCTGCAGCACGAGGTGGACATTGCGTCCCAGTCCGTCAACCAGGAGCTGGTGACGCTGGCCGACGTGGTCAAGGAGCTGTTCAACGACCGCAAGATGGCTGTCCGGGAGGAGCAAAAGACGCTCGAGAGCGCGATCCAGCAGCTGAGCTACAAGATCACGATTATGCTCAACAGCGAGATGCGGTCGGAGATTGAGGGTCTGCGGTGGGTGTTGATCCGGCGGTCCGTGCTGGGCATCATCTTCATGGCCATCCTGACGCTGGGCACGCTGCGGTACGCGAGCTACGTCAGCCACGAGAAGAAGAACGCGGCAGAGCGTGCGCTGCGCGAGGCACACGAGGCGGAGATGCAGCGGTTTGCCGACACAAAGATCGATAGCAGCGCGCCACCGGATGCCGCAGAGATTTTGGCAGCAAACTGATGGAGCAAGCAGAGACAGAGAGACAGAGAGCATTTGCGAGGTTGTTGTAGATTACGGGTTCAACACGGAATGGCGGCAGGATAATGGATTTGGAAAAGGCGAATATGGCCATTGGATCTATTGGCAAGGACGCGGCGAAGAACGCGGAAAAAGAACACAAAACAAAACGAAAGGACGTTTGGAGATACCCAAAACATAGACAAGCCACACTGCCCGTGGCACATAAGCAATTACACATCATAAGATACGAAAAATCACAAAATACCAACGATACGTTGAAAGTACTCGGTGGATGAGAATCGGGCACACTGAACTGTAAACTATGTATGCTCTATACGTATCAATTTCATTGACTATTTCGTGAAGATGTGCGTGCCATGAGGCGAGGGCAAAAGATGGACTGGGTATATTGGGTATGAATGAGGGTCCAACGGCAACAGAAGAACAAAAGGCATTCGCTAATGATGGTAAACTAAAGATGACAAAAAAGCCAAACAGGCGTAAAACATGACGGAGACGATAGGTCGACGACAAAAGGGTCTAGATGCCGTTCTCCTCCCAGGTGCGATAGATGGCATCCCGCACAGCCATATGGCCGTTGGAGCGCTGCACGGTTAGTCAAAAGCTGCGACAAGAGAAAACGAAATGCCGACAACGTAGCAAAGGGAAACTCACTGGATGAAACGTCTTGCCGTAGTACGTCGGCACGTACCACATGGAGTTCTCGGGGGACACCAGGCGGCCGTCGCCATACACAGAGGCATCCGCGTCGCCAGCGTCAAACGATCCAACAACCGGCAGCAGGGCCGGGTTGGCTGCTTGTGCCTGCACCATGTCACACAGTGCGCGTTCGCCCCAATCGCCGCGGGCGTCGGCTGGTCCACGGCAACGCAGCGGGTCGACCAGGTACGAGTCGGGGTCAACGGTTGGTGCAGAGAGGGGGAGGGCTTCCTTTGTGCCCTTTTTGCCCTTTTTGCCCTTTTTGCCATTTTTACCATTTTTGCCGCCCTTACCCTTGTCGGGCCCATCGTCCGGGACATCGACGCCGTTGTCGGTGCCTCCCACGAGGAAGAACCAGGTCGCATCGCGCTTGTAGTCCGGCTCGACCACGCCGGGCTCGCAGAAGCGGTGGCCCTCAAAGGCGTCGTCGTAGTCGACAAACAGCACATGGGGCGTGTTGCCGTAGCGGGCGTTGACGCTGTCGACAATCGCTTTGAGTTTGCGATTCGCGCCGGCCACCAGGCCGTTCATGCGGCGGCGCAGGCCCTTGGTGAGGTAGGTGGTGTCGGTGGCGTTGTCGGGCACGCCAGTCGCGTTGCCGTAGTGCCACCAGATGCTCATGGACGCGCGGTCGCACAGATCGGTCTCGGCGTTGAAGAAGCGCGCGTAGCCAGTGACAATGATGCGGAACTGCGGGTGCTTCTCCCACCGGACGCGCGCCAGCAGCTGCAGCAGGATCACGGTCAGGCGCGCAGAAAACGAGGCCGGGTCGGTCGAGCGGTCGTCCTCGGCGAGCAGCAGCTCTGAGGCGCGCAGAGCAGCCTCGCAGGTGCCCGAGTAGTACCCATAAAAGCGGAACACACAGGCGTTGATGACGTCAAAAAAGCCCAGATCGTTGCCGCCGATGGAGAGGGTGATGTAGTCGAGCGCAACCACGGCTGGATCGGTGAGGAGCGTGTTGATCTGGCCAGGATTCGACGCGGTGGACGACGGCGAGCCGAGAACGTCGGCGGTCGTCGCGCCTGTGCACGACAGCCACTGAAACGCCGTTATGTTGGCATCACCGCCGTTGTCGCCCTTTCCTCCTTTGTTGCCGTTGCTGCCGGCAGACGCGTCCGCGTCGAAGCCCAGGTCGACGTGCAGCAGGGCCGGATACGCGCCAAACCCCAGACGGCAGCTCGCCTCCTTGCCGCCGTCGAGGTGTGTGCCGATGCCCGCGCTGTATGAGTCGCCGAGCGAGGCAAAACCTTTGCTGGTCCACCGAAGGCCGGTATCGCGATGTTCCGGTGCGTGGCTACCCAGCGCCTTCTGCCGCGCGTCGCTGCCGCCGAACCACGACGCCACTCTCGGTATCCGCCAAGCGTTTGTGATAGTCGCCGGTAGTACGGCCGCCCGTGCAGGCTCCGTGCCGCTGAGCACAACCAGCCACGACGAGGCGGAGATCAGAGACGGGAGATGCATCTTGACGATAAGGAAATAAGATAAGGTCAAGGAGTCAAGGACGTTCGTGGAGGTGTCGTCGAAATGATGTCGCCATCCACGGATGAATTGTTTAGGGTGCCATGAGAGTGTCGGGGGAGTGTGGTCGTAGGAAACACAGGCATAGTCGGAGTCACAAAGACTGGCTAAGAGATGTTCCCAACAAATGACAAGTCGATGCAGCCATTCACAGGCGGCAAGGTGGCAGGCGCGCAGGGCAGGCTGACAGGCAGTCGCGACGCAGCCACAGTGATGCGGGGTTGGCCCGTGGACCCTGACAAACAGAGGAAGGCGCGTAGCCAATGGCAAGCGCTGATGTCGGCAGGTGCTGGCCGCATTTGCTCTCCTTTGCGCCTTCTGCGCCACCCTCCTTCCTCACGCAACGCCAGCCTCGTGACACAAAGGAGAAAGGATAGGGAAAGGACGACGTGAGAAAAAGCCATACAAATTAGGAAAGAGCAAGTTGTTTCTGGCATGGTCGGAGGCTTTTGCCGTATGCGCCATACGACATAACACAGTATAGCCAACAAAGCAACTCGCTCAGCACTGGCGACAAGTCAGCTTGCTGACAGCTGAAGCATAAATCATGATATGCACGACATAGTTTTCGAGAGATGTCTATAATCAACACTGAGTCCGTGGTTCGGTTAGAAGAGAGAAGAGACGTCCTGAGTCGTGAGTTGGACTGACACGACAAAGACGATGCAGATGCGGCTCCGGAGTTTGCTCGGAGATGTCCCGCAAGGCCCACACCCGTCTGGGCTGCTGGACCTGCTCTTTCTTGGGCGCCTCGGCGTTGGACTCTGTCTCCTCGGGGTTCACAACAAAACGGCGACAAGAGTCTTGCAGCCCATCTACCAATAATTTTGATTGTAAAACTACATTTGTTCCTTGGATGGTTTGTCAGTGCCAAGAAACGACCAATGTTCAAGCTCAAAACTGCAGCAACTCAATCCAGCATGGCCCTCGGTGGTCGTAGTTCGACGCTCCGAGGCACATTGCGTATATGATTATTCTCGCAGCTGCGGCCGACATAGCCGCCTCGGAGTGTGTAGTTTTGCAAGACTGACAAGTGGAAGTAAGCCAACAATGTGGACACGAGAACGAAAACGGCAACAAATAACAAAATAGTCTTGGCCACAGTTTCTTGTCGTGGCGGCCCTTTTCTCGTTCCTTTTTCTTCCTTGGGTCCTCTTTTTTATCGTTTTTTTCTTCTTTTTTTTGCACTATTTTTTTTCTGCTTCACGATCTTCCGTCCCACCTTCGGTCTTCCGTAGTTGTGGATGCTTTGTGATCGGATGGCAGCCAAACGACGAAAACCAGTCACACGGCTCAAAGATTTCTAGCGCTTCCTTGCAGCCTTCTAGCGCGCCACCCATTTGAATTTGTTTGCCCCGTGGTCCTCGGTTCATGTCGGACGTGCTGTCGACGTCCGAGCTCCGGTACCTTTTTTCCTCTGGTCTTTTTTTGCATGACATTTTTGTTGTTTTTTCTCTCTTTTCATCTTGCCTCCAGTGGAGCCCTGCTTAAAAATTAGAGTTGGGAGATATAAGACGGAGAGCGGGAAGCGGAGCAGAGAACCGTATGGATGACAGGGCCTTAACTCACAGAAGCATAAGAGCGAAGAAGCGAGATCGTGCATAAAACAAGACCAAGCTAGTTGGCAACGAGGCATTAGGATAACTCGGCAGCGTATGTCGTACGGAAACATAACAGAGTTAATCCTAGCAGAAAATGAATGGACCGTTTTAACAGCGCGGCAGAGTCCAAAAAACCCAAGGCGCCATTTCCCTACTCAATCATACCCTAGGTGTTCTCTTCCGCCGCTCCCGGACGGACAGGCCACGAGGACAGGACGCCAACAAAACAAAAACGGATTGCAAGGGCGTGCAAAACGAGCCTCAGGACAAGATATTCCAGAAGAGTGTCGAAACGGTCAAGACACAGTTCCAATTTGGGTTGAAAACGGGCTCTCCACGACACGACATGGAGTTTGCTGTCAAAGCACCACGCGGCCTTACTCCGTGTTTTCAAGGCTAACACCGCGCACGCCCTCGCCTTGATGACAAACAAGTGTATGACAGTCCCATAACGGCATAACGGCAGGTCATCAGCAGGTGTGAGCCACCGTTTTTGTGTTTTGTCGTCTTGTGCCTCGGACGAACGACTCGTGCCCCCGTTCCTCACAAACTCTCCGTGTCCGTCTGACACCTCCCCTCACCACCTTTTCATGTTCCAGAGGAACGGTACCGTCAACAGGTACGAACGTATCCATATTGTCGTGCGGGGGGAGGGGTGGAACGTTTGCTCCGATTCGCAATGTTCAGGGCCTTGAGCAAACGCAAATCTCGCTTGACCGTTTTGTCCTTGTCTTGACAGCTCAAATCCGCCCCATCCGGGCCGCGACTTGCTGTCACGTTGAGCGATGCTTCGCTTTCTCGTGCCTTCCAGATCATCAACACCAGTCCTCGTGCTTGACAAGGGCCAGAGCGCGTGAGTCTTCCGTGCGTATGGAGCAGGGTATCAGACACTCGAATGTCTTCTCGTGACAAGCACGCCATGAAACCAACCATTCCGTAGAAGCCGTATTTCCTTTACTGATTTTACAGTTCTTGACGATGGCCCTGTTGTTATCAGATCGGGGTCTTGAACGTGTGTGCAGATGCGTACGAATACGATATCATGCCCGGTGCTCCGTACGAGGCTTTGACAGGGCTCAGCAGATTCATGCATAATTTGAATGTGCTGCCTCTGTACGAGACGGCCATCAGAACCCAAACACCGTTTTGATAAAGCACGCGGGAGGATTGATTTGACGTTTTCTTTGTGCTGACATAACAAGACGAGTCTGGGGAAACAAACTCACTGTCGTCGAGCTCTACAGATGTTTTGTCATCTGGCTTCTGTGTCCTATGTCGCAATAGCGGGCCATCGGTGGTAAATCCGGCAAACGGTTCGAGACGAGAGATGGGGTAAAATAGCAGGACCCGCACGATACAATGGGCAGGGGCACATGATGTTTACTTGTTAGCTCCACGGCCGCTCGCGTCTTCGGTCTGTCGAGTCACGCCGGGTTGCGCGTTTCCTGGGGAAACTGTAACGATCCCAATGCGTAAAGATAGTCGCTGCCAGACCGAGGGCCGAACGTCGTCCAGCGGACAAACGGCTAGCTGTAATACATCAGATCAAGATGCCATTGTCCAGCCGGTTACCTAGCGTCGTGCAGCCCTCCCACTTCCCCGTTTTATGGGAATTGCGAGAATGCTATCAATTGACTTCACACCAGCCTCGTGGTCCAACTGCCGCTGCCTGCCGTGTTCCAGCTCCGTTTCTGCCATCACGACAGGGCCTTTGCGAACGTACATGATGCGATCGATACGGACGTTCCGAGATAGGCACAAGGCTTTGCAACAGCACAGAAACATAGATTGTAGTTGCAACTGCCCACAACAGCCACCTTTCTCTTTCCTATTTCGTCTACCAGATGTCTTTCCGCTCGTCGGAGTGCTGTTTGCGCCGGAAACGGCAAGCGGTAACGGCCAGCGGTAACAGCCGCTAAGGCCAGGCGCACCTTCCTTGCCCGGTCACGGAGCTCACGACAACTCTTCGACAGAATCTATTTACTGTCGGGTCTTTTCCATTGTTAATGAAAGCCTTTCTTCCGAACAGAATATAAAGAATATCCGTTCGGGCCCCAACTGCGGCACTCCGTTCCAGCTGTTGAGCTGTGACGTCGCATTGCAGGTGGCAGTTGAGCTCCGTTTTGGAAAGTGTTCGAGCCGCGCAACAGTTCCTTTCTCATATAATAATAATACGACTGCCTGTTGCGTAGCAAATACGCAAATGAATTGCTTCTGTAAATAGAACTGGAAAACGAGAAGAGCGAAAATGGCGTCTTTTTGATACAATTCCTCGCTTGTTTCCAGGCTCCCACATTCTGAAAGTGGGCCATGTACGTCTCCGTGTTGTGTGGAGTATTTATTCGTAGCCTAGTCTTTGCTACTATTTTTACACGCAACGTAAGTTCCTACTGTAATTCGTACTCTGAACTCGACGTCGTATGCGCAGGGAACGGCCCCATATTGCTCCCTATTGCTCCTTCCCAACGGATTCGGAAACGTCCTGTGCCCAAATCTGTCTCGACTTATCAAATCTGTCCATCTGTCATAGTTGTAATGCACGTGCCTACACACAAAGCCTCGCTCTGTCGCGTATCTCCTGGACAACTACAGCCGCAAAGGCCAATACGAGGAGGATACCCGACGTTGCCTAGGAGTTTGATGGAGATTGGACGTCTCTTGAAATAGGACACAGGTTCTTGGCAGGGCCAAACCTAATACTATCTATCCACTTTACACTTTTGGCACTCGTCTAGATAGGGCCACGTCAAGAGAGTTGCGAGGCCGACAAGTATCGATGCTGGACGACGGTTGACGTTGGGCCATAAAACGGAATCCGAATTGGGATATGCAAAGTTGAGCAACTTGCGCGTATCCCCTGCAGCGCATCCTCGTTTCATTGTGCAATTACAATTTACAACTACGGAGTACAGAGCGTGCGCTCTTATTTTTTGTTTTGTCACGTCTCCCCGTTTTCCGAGAGGTTTTGTGAGGTCAGACCAGAGCCGCTTAGGAATCGTCACGACCCAAACGTGATGGCTTTCCAATAGCCCGTTTTTGACAGCTGTCGGACCATTGTCCGTTGGTGCTGCGAGGTGATCATAAATCCGGAGTCGTCGTTTATCTCCTTAGTCTGAGTTGGCCATGGAAAAGCAACAGCCAACGTCCGCAGCGCTACGATTGTCTACAAGCCTGTTTGCTGATTAACTGTAGCCCCGTTAGTAGGGAAAATGATACGATGGAGACGTCAGATCCCTGGGGGTTCACACCCCGGATTTCAAATGCATGATACCACTGAGCGTATGAGCCAATGATGGCGTGCTCGGCCACTGGTCTTTGTCTCATTGAAACGCTCCCGCTGATGATGCCACTGCAAAGGGTCTGTCCAAAAACGGTAAACCGTCGTTGTCCGTATTGGGTCCTCATTGGTATCCCCTTTGTTGTGCGTGACGATAGCCAACGATTCTGACGTGTTGGTCGCATTGGTCAGCCTCCTCGGCGTTTGTCTGTCCTAGGTAAGATGGGGCGAGCAACTACAGGGTAGGACAACCGTCGTCTTTCATAAGCAGAATCAGCACCAGTGCCATCGTTCGTCGTTTTCTCACCAGTAGTATCAGCAGAAAAGCGAAAGACAGGACAGCGATGTCAACCACGACCGTTTGACCCCTCTTTGTGATGTTTGGGGATATGTAAGCTTGTAATCACACGACCTGGGTGTCTCTGAGTTTCAAGCCGAACATCCAAAGAAAAACTCGAAGTGTCACGCAACTCTTGGGCGGTTATTAAAAAGCTCGACAAAGGATGGCGTAGTAGAAGAGAGCCATTGTTAAAGGGCCATTGCAATTCCGTAACCGACGACGAGCCGAATGAAGGAAACAGTATCAAAGGGCTTTGAAATCTCAAAGCAATTCGCACAAAGGGCTGTGCCAGGTCCAGAGATGGTTCCTGATTGGACGCGGACGTGTGGTCTGTAATTACGGGCAGCATGGACGGAGTGACGAGCGGATGAGTCAAAAGGTGACAAAATGCGTGACAAAAGCCGACGCCCACCCTCGGCCAAAGAGGCCCCACCGTCCCTGTACCACTGTGCCCCACCGCTATCCACGCGCGCTGTCGCGCCCGTGACTCTTTCCCAAGAATGGACCCCACTTATGTAGGGAGCAAAAGTGCAGAGTGGGTCCCATCCCGGGCCCCTCCTTCTCGGCCTCACGCTGTTACGATGGACTGACTGGTCCTCGATCTGGTCTGGCCCTTTCCCGTACGATGACTCTCCTTATCGCTCGCTCAATCGCACTAAATTTCCTTATCTATCTATCCGCCAGCCGCCCACCTTTTTTTTTTTTTGTTATCTTTATGGTTGTCGCCTCCTCGATGGCCCCTTAGCTGGGCGGTATCTCGCAATCGATTTCACCCTCCATGTCCCCACAGCACTCTACCGATTAGATCATAGAAAACATCGACGACATCATGTACGACGTAGCTCAGTGATTGATGTGAAAATGAAGTGTTGAAAAAGCAGAGATGTACAATAAACAAGACACTTTGGCAGTTGACATCGGCGTTGTCGTCACTGTCTGTCGCCTGGCGGCTGAAACAGCGCTGCCTAGGGAGGGCCGATCAAAGATGTTGATTCGCTGTCCTCCAGCAGGACAGGGGTCCATCCAGTCGTAATTTTCATTTATTTTTTGCACCGACACTCTACCCCAACGCAGGAGCAGAATAAAGAAGAAACAGGTGGAAAGAAAATAGAAAAGAAAGCATTGTCACTTGCTGCCCATCGTATCCGTCCGTCGTGTCAACTTGTGCCTAATTTGGTACGATTCGTATTTTCATGTCATGAAGTTTCTTTGATATTTTACGATTACATTACTGCTTGGTCACTTGAACTGTTGTAAAGCTTTTCTTTGAATAAATTATATTCGTAGGCGACTACGCTCAACCTCTCTTTTTCGAGGGAGTGCGGTGCCCGTAAATGTTGGAGATGTTGTAGCTAACCTGCTCTAGTTCCCAAAACCCCGTAGACAAATGAAAACAGAAAAATCGCTTTTTTTGTGTGATTCTAAAAAGACAACCCGCCAAAATGGTATCCGAGAAATGAAATGATAAAATATGAAAAACAGGTATTCGCTATGCAAGAAGATGCAAGAAACAAGACGCTTTCGTGAGAGATAAAAGACAAAAAAAGGTGGATAGGGTTTTTTTGTCTTAGTAGACAGACAGCGCCGTGATCAACCTTGCAGGGTTGCGCGGTGGCAGGTAGTAGTGTGCTGTGCTGTCGTCGTCGAAAGCATCGTGGTCGTCTTCTTGTGGCGACGCAATGGCCTTGATGGCCGTGGTCGCCGCCGTCTTGGCGAGACCCGCTGCTGCCTTCTTGTCAAAGGACTGCAGGGTCACCGCCGGCGGCGATGGCGGCATCGAGGACTCGTCGTCCTCGGACGAGATGTCCGAGTCCTCCTCGATGACCAGTTCCGGTGGTGACGAGATGTGGGCGATGGATGAGGCGGGTGAAGAGAGCGAGGCGGGCGAGGCAGAGTGGGAGGGAGAGCGGGTGAGGGTGAGGCGGGCGGCGTCGGACTCTTCGTCGTACGCCTCGTCGTCGTCCTCCTCCTCCTCCTCGTCTGCTGTGCTGTACGCGTCCTCGTCGACCGTCTCCACGACCGCCTTGTTCGAGGCCACGCGGCGCAGAGGCGCGGCGTCGGCCATCAGGATGTCCTCGTCGTCCTCCACAGACGACGCAGGCGACTGCTGCTCAAACTCTTCGTCAAACTCGTCGTCCGATTCGCTGTAGTCGGAGCTGGCGTCGGAGCTGGCATCCGAGTCGTCGTCGTTGTCGGCGTGCCACTCCTCCTCGGCCTCCTCGACAACGGTGTCGGCCCACTGCACGTGGCGGTCGGCCTTTTGCGGCGCCGGCTGCTGGGCCTTGTTGGCGCCGCGCACCGACTGGTTGAACCACGACTCCTGCTCGCGCTCGGCATCGGCCAGCTCCAGCATCAGAGTGTCCAAGAGGTTGGCGTGGCCGACCAGCAGGCGCAGGTTGTGGTCAGGGCGGGCCGCCTGCGACGACAGCTTAGCCCGAGCCTTGTGGGCCAGGAAGTAGGTTTGTGTGATGCTCATGGTCTTGCGTTGTGGTGCGGAGAAGGGAGAGGGAGCAAGGGGTGACGTCTTGGTGGACGAGAATGTTGTTGTTGTTGTAGACATTGTGAAGAGAAAAAAGAGTAGTATCCAAAAAAGACTTTGGGTGTGGATAGATTATGTATGGACAAACACAGGGCTCTCAGAGGGCTGCCTGTGACTCAAAGAGATGGTGAAAGACAAGACCCGATTGCGGAACTGCGGCTGTTGTGGTGGGGCGGTTCTCGGGCTTTCGTGCTTTGTCTGCTACTTTGTTCTAGGCGAACGAGTTTTGCGTGCGAAAAATGGCGGCGGTTTGTCAGTATGACTGGGCAACCTGGTTGGGGCTGCGAAGTTATGTAATAATGGAGAGGTAGTGGTCATGGACTGGAGGGGGACTGGAAAGGTGAAGCTCGTGAAGAGATCAAGTCAAGATTGTTTGCAGATGCTGTTGTTGTTCTCTTCCTGTTATGTTGAGGAAGGTGCAAGTTGCAGAGTCGAGTTGAGTTGAATTGAGAATGGAAGGAGAGATCGAGAAAGAAGACAGACTCGAGGAAGGGGCGAACGGGTCATTATTAACTACGAAATGGATGCCACGGAACGAGACGAACAAGAAGGAGAGGAAGAAACGGTTTGCAATCCAAATCCTCACCCGTAAGCCCATAACAGCAGCAACGTCCGTGACGAGAAAGCGAAAGCGACCATTTTGCGAGTTGGCGCAGCCTAGTTCGTCACCCTTTTCGTCGCACACCCCCCTTCCTTGTCCCTGAGGTCTGGACGCGCAGTCTTGCCGTTCCCCGATTTCACCGTATTTTCGAGCCAAAATTCCGTGGGCGGTCCGCACTTTCCATTGTCTCCGTTGGCCGGGGTTTACCAAGCAGTAAAATCCTAAGGCCCCAGGGCAGTGGGCAGGGCAGGCACTAGGGCAAGTACGGGGGGGCGTGGGGCTAGCCAAAACGGAGGCGCCTTCCGCGTATTCTGTACAAGGACGTATTACAAAAGTACGACCTAGGGCGTGGCTGACAAAAAAGGGAAGCGAGAAAAGAGCGAAAAGTCGGGGACGGAGGTTATGCTGCTGCCTCGTTCAGGCACGACTCGCAGGGCGCTGTGGGGCTAGTAGGGCGTGGTGCCGGGAAAACTGTACAAAATAGTCCCAAGCACAGAACGGATCTGTCATACATTCGCGAGACGGAGACGGCAGTGACAGCGAGAACGAGCATGAACGGCCAGGGGCCCCACCTGCCAAGTCGAGAAAGCGACACAGCTGACAAAACAAACACTGCCCAAACGACGCTAACAAAACGCCTAGCACGCAGGGGAAAGGCGCGCGCCCTGAGAAAGTACGAAGACGGAGAAAACGGTGGACAATGCATCTTACAAACCACCGTTTTGGCGCAATGCCAGAATCCCTTCTTTTCTCCGAAGCCCGGTCATAACAGCCCCCCAATCCCAAACACCGTCCGCTCTGCCTTTACGACGTACGTCCTACGTACTAGCCCTGTCAGCACTTTACGCGCAGCCGGCGGCGGCGGTGAACCTCGATGGAGCCCTGGTCCGTCTCTTGGTTCGTCTCGCATTCTCTCGTAACGAGACCCACTTCTGCTGCGGTTTCTGAGGAATCCGCAGGCAGAATGAGTAAGACACGAATCCCTCCGGCCCAAGACGTCGCCCATTGAACTGGGCATTTGGCACTGGCCCTGGCCCGGTCGCCGAGCAAAACGCGAGGCCAAGCGAGCGTGATGCGCACGTTTCTGCACCGCAGCAGTCGCTCCTTCCAGGCTTCGACATTCTGGCTGCGCGTGCTCTTTCTCCATTTCGTGGCTCTGCGGTGCCCTTTGTCTTCCCGGCCCCGTCTGTTTTTCATTCCTTCCGTTTTGATGTCCAATCGACTAAGATACCTTTTACGACGTAAGGCACAATTTCACTGCCTAACGCATTGCGACAACCAAAGATTACGCACATGCATCACTGACAAGTCGGTTGCAGGGCGTCATATCTCCGGTCGGCAACCTTTTTGGCCCTGGGCCCTGGATATGATGACGGTTTGCGATTGATGACGCCGCGCGCTTGTCCTCCGTACCGCAGTTCACATTGATGTCGCTTCCTTTCCGTCAATTTGGATGCGACCGACTTGGACGAAAAAAAAGCTGTTTTGTCGTTTCACAACCGCTTTTTTAACAAAGTCGGCATAGATCGAATAATAAAGTCGAGGACATACTGGAATGTGACAAATTTCACCTACTACTAAAGATGGACCAGATCGCACCTCAATGATACTCGATCCTCGAATGCGTCTGGCTTTGATTTGTGGACATCGACGTCAACGTTTAACACGCGTGTTCGACGATCGACAAGACGGCGGTGAATCGCTCGGCCATCAGGCTCTCTCTATTTTGCCCTGGTTTGCAATTCGTAAGCCACGTCAGCGTGTCAGAGATTTGGCAGAAAACGGTGGGCAGCCGGCGGGTGCATAACGGATTGGCTTCTTTGTTCTGTAATGAAGTTATGGTGGCCGTTTTAGACTGAGTGGACAGGGTGTCACTTGATTAAGAGTGAAAGACTGCACAATACACCGGCTGGCGTCATCACAGTCGCATTTCCACTGTTAATATACTCTCGCTAGGGGCAATCTACGTGAAAACGGACAGGCCCTGTAACCCGCTAATTGGTGCTCGTCCCTTGTTCCTGACAAACGCGGCTGTGAAATTTCTAATCCTTTCGTGGATTTGTGTTATTCGGTTGATTCCATCGAGGCCCAGCACCTTCCACCCTCTTCGATGGACAGATTGACACTTTGGCATTACGGACGGTACAGTCGCACTTCCCTAAAGTCCTTGGAACGGCGCACACCTCCGTATCGAACTGCTGCACTACATACAACCGTTTCTGTAGAATGTATATCCGTGCGTCGCACCTTGATGAACGGATGGCCGTGTGATGGGAATCGCTTCTCATTCTTATGTCAGCCAGTCAGACAGGACAGTTGTCCGGGGTTGTTGGCAGGATGATCCGTGGCTGTCTTTGTCGGAGTAAGTCCGTATTGCCGTGACAATGTCAAGTGAGCAAACGATGGTGATTTGAAAGATTAATTTCCTAACTAAGCAATACGTGATTCCTTTTTTCATGAGACAAGCATCCTATTCGAAGATTTTGTTATCCCTCCCGTCGTCGACCCAATGACTGTCTCGGAAGATGGAAAAAGGTAACAGCCCACGGGCGGAAAGGGCTGCCGGCCGGAAGTCAGACGAGAAGTTCATAGTTGAGGTTAGTGCATATTCTCACGGAACTCTCTTTGCGATATCTCCGCTTGACTCGACGGGCGCCATGACGGCGTGAGGCTGTGAGCATGTTCACATCATGTCTTTTCTTTTGCTGTTGTCTTGCAACTCTTACCCGTTATGCTGAAGTACGCGGGTCAAAAGGATGACAATACGCCGTAACGGAGGAAAATTAGACTCAGCACCGACCCAGATCGATAATTGACCAAGCCACACGCCTTTACGTGCCCCTCGTCTCTAAATACTGGTGCCTGAAGGCCGTGAAAGGCTGTGAAGGCTTAGAAGACTATGGTGCAGACCCTACCGTTTTGCTCGTTCTCGCTTTGCGTTCACAAAGCGCTAAGAAACGCGAGAAATGGGAAGAAAGAGCACCACAAAGAGTCCGAAGACAGTCCTAGGAGCAAAATCTTGCCGAGTGCGAAGCAAGGACCTTGTCCCAATGTTACCTAATCTACGCCAGTTAGCTCAACACAACATAGCGCTGGCCTCGTAATACGAGCGGCCCAAGAGCGCCAATGCGGCGGTCGATCACCTAATGGTGCAAGTGCAGTCGTAAAACTCACGTTGCACTCCACTGGGGCCTTGGAAGTCGGCCGAAGCGAAAACCCCGACCGACTTTTCAAAACGGTGCGCCAAGTTATTCCACTTTCTCACCCAAAACGGGAAAGCCATGATTACAAAACCAAATACGCCGTATCTGCAATCTCACGTCGTATGTCGTATATCTCAAATCTTCCCAGTGGGGCAGGGCGAGGCTTGGGAATGCCCTTATGAGCCATCCCATCATTTCCTGAACAAGGCTGTATTAAGCGAGAGTTTTGAATCTGGCCGTGTATGGTGTATTATGTCGTGTAGAATACGGCCCAACTTATGTTCGAGTTTGAGAATGATGACTGTCGAGCCGGTCCATCTTCTTCTTTCAGTGTGCTCGCAGTGATGGGCGTAAACTTGGCGCAACTGGGCGCAAAATCGTGGCTTGGACAAGCGACGGCAAGCATCACTTCCGAAGTACAAAGTACGGCGTATCGTGTCGTATGATGCCGTATTTGGGCGTAGAAGGTCCCTTGTGAAGTAAGGCACGCAAAACGCGAGAGGATGCGGTGGTCGGTTGTCGATGTGCGGTCGCTTCAAATGGCCCTTTTAGGAAGCCTTTGCTGTGCCGTCCTCTCGTATCTCGCACTTTCGGTGATTGTGCCTGCCTGGATGCCTTGCAGCCTTCTCCTCATCAGGGGGCCCTTCTGCGTTCCTCCGGCGGTTCTTTTGCCGTTGCCTGTCCAAAGCCACGCCAGCCTTGCGCGGCCCTGTCGCGCTGGGAGACTGGCTCCACTCGTATTTTCTCTTTTTCACGATGCAATCAATTTAAACTTTGGTGGGCAAGGCAACGGTCTCTGTCGCCAAAAGTGTATCCAGAAGTGCCGCCCGTCGTGCCTCGCATATCGTGTAGTCGTATCGCGCACATCGCAAGGCCTCGTTCAATCAATGCATCAACGCGGGTCAATTCGACTTCTCGGCCACATAGCAGGCGGAATCCAATTCCCCGGTTTGTTTCAGTACATTGGGCGGTTTGGGTCTGTGGTTGTGTTTGTGCGGGTTTGCAATTCGTTCAATTCCCGTCCGATTGCCCCGAGTCTCCGTTGGAGCTTGCTCCTGCCGTTTTTGCTTCGTTCTGGGAGACAAAGAAAACGGAAGGAACCTAGGACTGTAAAGTTCTCCGTAGGGCTGGAGCGATCCTGACCCGCCTTCCGTACACCCCCCCCCCCCACCGCCTGCCCCCACTCTCGCTACACTGCCCAAAGACGTATGACTCTCATGCTGACTTAACATTCGTAGCAATTTCTGCCCTTAGTGCCTTCTCTGCGTCTCCCAAACGCCGGGCCCCGTAATCTCCTTGTTCCGCCCTTCGCGCCTTGGCAAAGACGAACCAAGGAAAACGAAAGCGAGCACTGAGCGACGCCTGCATGGAGCCAGAACGATGATTACATAGCAAAAAGCAGTTACAAATCGTTCTCTTCATTAACAATATACTCAATATACTCAATATCACACAACCAGAGCTCCAAGCGAAGTCGCGCAATCCTGCCCAAAGAGGAAATCGCATAGAGAGACCTGTCCCAGCAAATCGTTCTTTCCCGCAAACTGCTTTGCTTCTTTTGCGCTCTTTCCCCCGTTTCTCGAGAGGGCTGTGCCATTTGCTATTGATATTTCGTAGGCAAAAGGAACTGCCATACAAATCAGGCGAAATGAAGCGACAGCACGATGTGTGCATGGCCAGTCTTGGTTGTCGTTGTGGTGCGATGGTGTTCTGTTGTCACGGCTGCACAGCCACGGTGCTGTTATCGAAATGTTTAGCCTTTAACTGTACGGGATGATCCTTTGACTCAATACGCGATACGCCATTCTTAATTGAGTTTTGTCCGCGTTGTTTAGTTTCTTATTTTTTAGTTTTTTTTATTTCTTTCTTCTCTTTTGTACCATCGAAACATGGCTTGTCGTTGCCCGGTTGGAATTGTTCTGCGAAATGCCACCGCACTGCGCCCTACGATTTACACGTATCGTGGTTACAGCCTCCATGACACGCGTGTTAAATCACTGTTTGTAGTCTGCCTTTCTCTGGCGTATCTCCCTGGTCATTATGACGCCTCAAGGCAGTCTGAGAACTGTTTCCTGCCGCCTTTACAAAACCGTGACGAGAGACGGCCAGACGATGCCGGCACCCGTTCCGTCGATCTTTATCTCAACATTCACTTCGAAGACGCGATGTGTCCGAAACGCGAGCACGACCTCGTTGGTGTCCTTTGGTCTGCACATCACAAAAGCTTATCCTGTTTTGGCATTTTTGTTTCCAGTGCGTGCAGGAGATGCAAGAGTCACGGAGTTTTCAACTCAAACGCCGACAGAACAATCCGTCCGCCGCGTGTGTGTCATCTGGATGGAAATGTGTTGCATTTATCGTATCTGCTTACGACATTCCCCGTATGCTGTCACTCACCAGTAACGCACAACCAAAGCACTCGGGATTAAGACCAGCCCTGGTCCGTCAATCGTTTTGGCTTACTAACTAAACCGGGCAAGACAGCGTTTGGAATTCTCACTGCAGGGGACAGGGGGCGTGGTCAGCAGACTGCAGTATCTGGAGCAGCTCCGTTTTATCACTTTGTGTGTCCTGCAGTTTCGTGAAATCCCCGTCTTACTTTTGTGCTGACGATGTGTGTGCCGTACACCCACTCACTGGCCACGAAAACTTGCCGGCCGGCTTGTTGTCGTGGTTGTCTGTCTTATCGATAATCGAAATTCCCCGTTTCACAATCCCTATTGTTTCCCAGCACACTCCATCTACTTTTCGTGGTGCTTTTCCGTACTTCCGCAATGTTAAGCATCTGCGCCTTGTGACCTTTTTTGACTTTCTGGTCCTCCGACCCTTTGGAACTCTTTCCGTTTCTTTTCGTCCGTGGGTCCCCGTAAACAATAAGAGAAAAAGAGTCGGGTAGTCTGTACATATGCGTTGTTTCTTTCTGTTTATCAGAAAAAAATGGTTTTGAGTGTCAGAAACGTCCACGAGACCACATTTTGAATCAAAATCAGACTACGGTGTCCGAGATGTTTGGCCGATTTTAGTGTCCTGGCATCCTCACAAAACGGACGTCGAAACAACGCATCCATAAACGGTCGCAACCATGGATTGGCAGAGAAACTTTGTGTTTTCAGGGTCTCCGACCTCGCCCATTGTACTCCTCGTTTTTCTCGGTTTCTCGATTTCTTTGATAGTCGCATGTCGTTTCTCGCATTCTTTCATTGTTTGGAACCCTGGTGGATCTCGTTTGCCCTGCCCTGCCTGCTTCGTTACTGGCTTCTTTGTTCGTTCGCCAGTCCCCAAAGCATAATGACCTCCATCACGCGTCACGCGCTCTGTCGGCGTCGCTTTTTTCATTAAATGCCGGCCAAGGTTGAACAGTAAGCGAGAACGACGAGTGAGTGTTACCTCCGAACGGGGAAAATGGGCCAATCACAATGCGTCCTTAACTCCTGCCCGTGTCTTACTCCCGAGCGGCCGTTCCTTCCGCGCATGTCTTTCCCAGCTTTGTTTGTTCCAGCCTGCTGGGTCGTCGTAACATCAGACGGAGGAAATAACGCATGTACGCGAGGTGTGTATGGCCAGCCAGCAGGAGCGACAACACTCACCTAATAAAAGGCTCCGGCGACAAGAAAGATTCCGAGCCGACGCTACGACGGCTCCAAGCTGTGAGTGGCTGACGTACAATATGTACGACAAGAAGCTCGGTTGACGACATACACGTAATGCAAACACGTACACATTCGCGTATCCACATTGTGGGCTGTGCCGACTGTGGGGAAGAGCAGCCAAAATGGACGACAGTACGCCGTACTCCAGGCTGTGTTATAGACACAGTCGTATTTATGGTTAGGCAGCTGTGTTCTATGTTCTGGGCTCGTCTCTGGCCACATCTGTGGCAGGTGAAACGACAGCGTGTGGCTTCGGTGTGTGATATTATTACTTTGGTTGACCACCTTTCGTTACTTCTGTCGACGTTTTATTGTGCTCTGTTGCAGTTACAGCCCTCACGCCGATGCCGAGAGACGGAAGGACGACGGACGCAGCACGTCGTCAATTTGCAAGGCGAAGGGAAAACGGGCAGGGGTAGCAGCGGTGCAATGGGCGAAATTCACTGGGAGACCTGGAATACCTGGACAAACTGGACTAACTGGCAATTGGTTGGGCTGCGACGACAGGCAGACAACAAAACGAAGAGGACGACCAATGACATGCAGTAGAGTCCCTATAATTACAGTACACGTCGCAAACACCGTACGCAGGCCCAGCCGTAGACGGTCGTCAAAACGCTGGCCTTGTACGACGGGCTTCGTAAGATATGTCCGACGAGGGAATACGGAGAGAGGTGAGAAGGGGCGTGTGGGTTGAGCTGGAACGGGCTGACGACAGACTACAGACCACGTCAGACACCATCGCAAAGGAACAAATCATATCGCGAACACTGTGAAAACGGCATAGGCTCAAAAGGCGATCGCCACGAAGCATGCATCGTCCTGAATAGGCGAGGTCGGGGAGGTCAGCCGAGAGCTGATGTAAAATTGCGTGAAGGTCAGTGAGTGGGTGAATGAGATGAGTGACACAAAACAGAGGGGGGAGAGAGAGAGAGAGAGCAAAAAAGAAAAAGAAAAAGCAAGAAACAAGAAACAAGAAAGCAAGGGAGCAGTGTTAGACTGTGGGGGCAGCTGGGTCTGCGCGCGAGCCTGTGCCTGAACCGAGTGGACGGTAGCTGAAAACTGGCGAGCTGAACCCGAACAAAAAAAATTGGCATGCGCTGTAAATCAAAGGCGTGGCAAGCGAGCGGAGCCAAATAAGTGAGACATGGTGATTCCCAATTCGGACAGGAAGCCGTCAGGGGAACACCGAGAACGAGCATCAACAAAGACAGACAAAATTAAGTAGAAAAGACGATCGGCACGGGGTTCACCGTCCACAAAGAGTGAAGTGAAAGGTGAAAGAAAAAAAGATAAAAGAGGCTTAACAAGGTTCCAAGATAGTGATTTAAAAGAGGCTTCTCTCCATCGTGTTTCAGGCAACGTGGCGGCAGATGGCATGTGAGCAAAGGAAAAAAGGAGACAAAGGGACGAACCACAAACAAAAGTGTACAGAGGAGCGCGTGCAAAGTGACGTCCCAAATATTAAAGGGAAATAAATAAATAAGAAAAACAGGAGCCATAGGTTGCTTTCTTTTTATTTGTTTCTATATGCAGGTGTATGTCTCATTCCTAATTGATATTGATATTCGTATTTTTTTGTACCGAACAGCAATCTCCGCTTCCTCTCTGGGTTGTGGACCTACATCTGTAACGGCGTAGCATTTCCTTCCACTCTGTTTGCTTTAATCGCTTCTACCACCTCGGCCTCCATCACGAAATGAATCCGACATCGCTCTTCAGCTCCGACACTACACCATTAATAAACCTCTTCCTTATGCTGGGTTCAGCCCTGGCCGTAAAATCGCAATCTATTCACCCAAGAAACTGGGTGGGCTACCTAAGAAGAAAGGGGAGACAATAGAAGAATACGGGGTAAGCCTTGCACCGAATGCTTGCGCGCATGTTCCCCCCGGAAAGACATGGCCCTATTCAGTAATTTCAGATGAGACTGTCGTATATAGTACGACAGACGATGTACATTGTGTAATCAGATGTGACGACCGAATAGATGGAGCTGTATTGATATCGGCACACTGCCACAAGACATTGAGTGACAAACAACCTTATGTACTCTGGTTGGGTGAAGTACCAATCAAGTAAATCGAGAACAGTATCTTAAACAAGTCCACTGACTTGGTGATGTTAAGGAAGTCGATTCTTTTGCACGTTTTTATATATATAAGCTTTATTTTATTTGTACTTTTTTACGAAAAAAAAAAGACAGTTGTAACGTTTGTATATATTTAAAATAAAAAAAAGCCAGAAATAAAGCAAAAATAACAGGCCGACATAAAAAAGGAATATGATACAGATGATATGTAGGTAGGTGTTCATTAGTTTAGCCTCACCCCATCTCGTATTACACAAACAATATACAATCACGTCTATTTTCGGTTCACTGTCAAAATAAGGCCGCCCCGACAGCTCGGTTAAGAACTCAGGAGAGAGGCCCTTGGCGAAGTCTGTACGACATGGCCCCTGAAGCCTGTCCAGCACGTACAGGATCGTGTGCCCCCACCGGCATCGACATGTTCATCCAATTTGACGCCCTCGTCGACACCGACCCGCCACTCGCTACACACCATCCATGGCAGCATTGTGCCCGCTCTCTCTTTGGTTATGAGTACCGTGTCTGTATCGCACTGTCTCGCTTGTCACAGAGTGCACGTCGAGGATGTTGATACGGAGTAAATGCCAATAAAACGCCTCCACGCAAGTGGCTTTGTCTGTAATCTATTATGCTGCTCGTAAACCCGCCATGTGTATGCAAACGTGCTTAAAGACACAAGAAATAAACGACTAATGAAAAACAATCTCGACCTCGGCAGCAACACCCATGCCTCTCACAGGCGACATATGGCCCTCTCCGACCGCCATCGGGCTCCGCCTTGCCCTGCTCGGCTACGCCTGCCTGCCCTCCCTCTTACGTCGCCCGCAGCTTCAGCATCCCCCGCTTCCGCTTGCCGCCCACCTCGCGGTTCTCCTCAATCTCCAGCAGCGCCTCCCGCTTCTTCTCGCCCACCAGCTTCAGCGCCTCCTTGGTCACGCGCGTCTCCAAGTTGACACCCTCCTCGGACCACGCTTCGAGCGGGCGGCCCACGCGCGCCTCAATCGCCAGCACCAGGTCCACGTCCCGTTGGCCAACAAACGTCACGGCCTCGCCACGGCGGCCCGCACGCGCCGTACGGCCAACACGGTGGATGTAGTCGTCGGGGAGGCGCGGCACGTCGTAGTTGACAACAAGCGCCACCTCGGGGATATCGAGACCACGCGCAGCCACGTCCGTCGCCACGAGGATGCGCGCCGCCGCCGCGCGGAACCGCCCCAGGTTGTCGGTGCGCTGGCGCTGCGGCAGCGTGGCGTGCAGCGCTGTGACGCGGTGGCCCAGCAGCCGCAGCAGGTGGTGCAGGTAGGCCGCCGTGGACGTGCGGTTGACAAAGACGATGACGGCGGGCAGCGCGGCGTTGTGCGCTGTGCTCAAAAAGGCGTGCAGATAGTGCTCGCGGTGGGTCACGGGAACGGTCAAGTGGCATTGTGTCAGTGTGGCCGGGATGGCTGGTGCGTGCGTCTCGACCTCGCACACAAACACGGGCAGCCGGTCGGCGCTGCGGGGCATCGTCTTGAGCGCGCGCACCTCGGGCGTCACCGTGGCCGTGAACAGCAGCGTCTGGCGCTTGGTCGGCGGCGGCAGCGCGCTCAGGCACGTCTCGACATCGGGCAGCATGCTGCCCGAGGCCGCGCCGTCGCTTTTGTTCTTGCTCTTCTTTCCACCACCACCGCGAGAAGCAGCATCGGGTAGCGTCGGAGCCGCTGTGAGCAGCCGGTCGGCTTCATCGAGCACGACATACCGCGCGCGCTTCAGCCCGCCAACCGTGTCGTCGCCCGACGTGCGGATGTGGTCCGCCAGGCGGCCCGGAGTGGCAATGACAATGTGTGGGTTCTTGGCCAGGGCAATGGCCTGCGGCCGCATGTCGGCACCGCCAGTCACGAGCAGCGCCTTGAGCGGCTGCGGCGCCGAGATGGCCATGAACTGCTCGTAAATCTGGAGGGCCAGCTCGCGCGTCGGCGTCAGCACCAGGGCGAAGATGGCGCTCGGGTCCGCCGACCACGCCTGCAGGATGGGCACGGCAAAAGCGACTGTCTTGCCGGAACCGGTGCGGCTGCCACCGATGCAGTCGTGGCCCCGGAGGATGGCCGGGATACAGCCCTTTTGAATCGCCGTCGGCCGGCGGATGGCCATGTTGGAGAGCGAGCGGACCAGCCAGGGCTTCACACTGATGGCGTCAAAGGTGGTGTTGGGGTCGGTCGGTGCCGCGAGCACGTTGGCGGCGGCGTCGGCGGCCGGGACCTCGGGTGCTGTGCCGTTGGCATCGCCCGCAGCAATTGTCCTGACGGCCTCGTCAATCGCCTTCTTCTGGGCAGCAGCCGTTGCCGCCGTCTTGTCGTCCGTCGGAACACGCGAGCGGACACGCGACGGGGCATTGAACGTAGATGGGACGTGTGCTACCTTGGGCAGCAGCTGTGCCGCCACCTTCTCCTCATCCTCCTCTTCCTCTTCCTCCTCCTCTTCACTCTCTTTGCTCTCTTCGCTATCTGACTCGTCAGAGCTTTCCTCGTCAGAGCTTTCCTCCTCAGCTATGCCTTGTCTCACGCGGCGCTTCTTGCGCGGCTCATCGCTGTCGAGATAGTCGGACTCGTCGCCTGAGTCGCTTGCGGGCGGGTTGGCGCTTAGCAGGCCGCTCCTCCGGACCACCTTGCCATCGATTTTTGGTAATGTAGACGCAGTCATGGCGCGTATCGTTGTTCGAGAAAAGGAGAAACGAGCAAAACGAGCAAAAGGGGCAAGGCTGGTTGTGGCGTGGTCGATTGGCTCGAACAGGAAGGATGTGATCGAGGTATGACGACCCGTATTGCACTGAACCGGTTGCATCGCTCCTTCCCAGTATTTTCACTTTTTCTGCCATCAAAATTTCCCCATGTGGAATGACAAAAATTAGGCGGTGAGGCGGTGAACAGCCAGGCAGTTAGGCCCAGGTTGCGCAGAAATAAGTGGAACCGGTTTGGCTGCCGCTTAGGCGGGAAAAGAACGGCCCAGGCCAGGCCAGGACAGGCTTAAAACCCCTGTAGAAAGCGGCACTAAGACAGGCAACCTCCACTGATGGACACAACTTTCCATCATGAAGCGCGCGCTTGAGAGATAAGAAAATGAAGAGCAGTTCCGAGATGGAAGCATAGGACGTATCTTACATGGCAGCACAGAGGTCTTGCCATAAGACTGTTTCGTTTTTGTGGCAAAGGTTCAAAGCTCGAGGAAATGAAGCCAACCCAGGGATGCAATGTGACACAGGGGCATGCAGGCTGCTAGGACCCAAGATAATGGCTCTCCTGACGCCGAGGATCACCGGGGCGCAAGTTGGCCGTTTCTGGGCGAGACAGGTGGGTGCTTTCAAGCATCGGACGGAACCAACAGCCGGCATGGCAGCCAGCACATAATTCATGAACAGAAAGAGACTAGGTTGCGGGCGGCGCTTAAAGGGAAATGCGGATGTGACAATTGATGAGAAAATTGATGCGTTCCGTAGCTGATATGTCGTCGACATATACAGCTGACTTGTAAAGCAGACTGGGCATGGGTATGGGTAGCTTTGATGAGAGAACGGAATGCGGTCGCCGTTGGTGACCAGGGCACAAACCGCGGCGACTTATGTGATGATGTGAACGGGCCTCCGTCGACGAATGGAATAAGGCGAGCATACAAATCGGAAAAGATCATAGAAACCATAATGCCAAACCACGTCGGCGAACGCCCATGACGTCTGTCAAGCCTGGACGGAGTATGTCGTCGAAATGGCATTGTTCGACGGGTGGAATGCCGTGCCTTTCTCAACACAACGCTCTCTGATTGGATGGCACATTACAGACAGGTGTGGCTTTTTGTTTCCCCCTTTTCATCTCGCTGCTGACAGGGCCAAATAGTCGGTGGTGCTGGTTCAAAATGCTCTCCGTGTTCGTTGGTCCCAGTAGCCGCCGAGCTGCCATGAGGGCTGCAACCATTGAGACGAAAGGAGGGCCCGGCACAGCAAGTGGAGCCGATCCAAGCAGGAGACAAGCATCAAAAAGGAGACCATCAACAGAACGAAAACAAAGCAACACGTCCATTTCGCTTCGAGTTCTCTGAATACTTGTCTGCTCTGATCCATGCTCCTGCCAACTCAGCTGGTCCAAGCTCATTTGAGCCTGTCGCTGGCCAGTCACATCCACTGAACCTGGCATCTGTTGGCCACACGACATTTGCTCGTCAGCCCTGTTTGGGTAGCAGTGCTGGCCGAGAGCACCGCATGCTGTGCAAAAGTCACCGTATCTGTTCTTGCACATTCGTAGCGCACTTGCAGATGCGCCCCGTTCGATCCGGGTTTGTAGTAGCTGCGGAAATTTATGTCTTCTGGCGTTGTGGCCGGTTCATCGTCCTCTCACGTTTCAGTATCGCGAGTTGTTTGTTTTGTTTCGCGTAACTTGTAATTTTTGGCGGCAAATGAAGCACTGGTCTGGCCTTTCACAGTAGTGATCGCCTGTCGCAGAAGATCCTCTTGCGGGCAACGTGCATCTGCGACAATCCTGGTGCATTCTGGTGGAGAGAAAAAGGGTGGAGGCGAGACCTGGTGACGAGACCGCTGACGAACCGATTGCTCCAGCTCCTTCTCAACTCTCCTCCTCCCCTGCTCCTTCTTCTCAGCCGCCTTGTCGACGCGAAGGGCAGGGCTAGAGCAAGCATTGCCATTCGCTGCTTCCTGTGGTCCTGCAGGCGAAGCTGTAATCACCCTTGGCAAGAGCAAAGACCAAAGCAAAGAAAGTGAACACTCCCAGCTGTCCAGTCTTATTTTCCCTCTCCAGGTGAAATCGTTGGCTGTTTGCTGTGGATCCAACGGTGCGTCCATTGCAACGTCCAGCCCCCTGTCCGGGCGACCCAACAGCGGCACACATCCTGTCCTGTTGTTGCTGCGACGTGCTTCCTGTTATTGTCCTGGTCGAACGTTCTTTCCCCCTCCTCGCCCGTTGCTTTTTGTTCTCCCTGTCTTCTCTGCCGCTCTTTCCCCTTCCGACTTCTATTCCTCCTTCGCTCCTGTCGGTCCTACCTGGGAAAGGACGTTGGTTCAGGACGTTCTTTGGTCGCTCTTTCCCCTCTGCCCAACCATCAACGGCTTCCCCACACCAGCCGGTTTAGGTAATGTCCGCAGGAGTTTAGTACCCACTCGCCACTGTATTACAGCGTTTTCCGGCGTCCCTTCCAGCGTGGTGCCTGTCCCTTGAACCACCTGAAAACTGCCTCTTGCCCCGTTTGGTTTCGGGGCTGCGTGCCCCTCTCCTAAAACGCACTAACGCTGTGTGGGCGGCGCATCTCACAACATCAACCCTCAACTGTCTATTTCCTTGCCTTCTCTGCCTCTTCATCTTTCCTCATCCTCCTTTTCCTCCAACTCCGCCGCACTGCAGGGACATCTCGGTCCTCGTCGACGATTTTCATTCACCCTCGTTTGTATCTTCATTTGTTTGCTTGTTTCCTTTGTCTGTTCTTGGCCTGTTCTGCAGCCTCCGTTTCGACTCTTTCCGAGCGACTTCGACTGTTTTGCTTTTACTCTCGTTTCTCAACCTCTTCTTTTTTGGCTATATTATACATACTTTTGCATATTGGACCATTCGGTTCCTCGTTCGTTTTCTCCAGCTTCTACTGTTTCTCTCTCGATTCCCCTTCTGCGTCCGACGACAGCGCAGCGTGTCACTCCATTCCCGCTTGTTTCACCTGTGACAAACTCGGCAGACCTCGACTTACAAAAGACAAACGTTAAAGAGACCAAGAAATCTGTACTTACTTCCGTCCCAACACTCCGGAGACGACCTTGTGCCTCGCCTTTGCTCCTGTTGCCATCTGGACGCAAGGGCATAGCCCGGGCCAAGTTGGCAGTGATCGAATCTACGGCCTCGTGCCTGCTTCGTCGGGCCGTGATACTTGTTATTTTCTGCTGTCTTTGGCCCTTTTCTCCATTTCCTCTTCCGACCTCACTCACAAACACACACACACACAATGGCCGATCAAGGGTCTAGCGCTCCCGCCGCCGAGGGCCGGCCTCGCGTAAGTGTTGCTTGTGCCCCGTTGCAACCTCGTACACTTTGTTGCTCTGCCTAACACGGTTTCCCACAGCTCTCACTGGCGACGCCAAACAACGACAACTCCTCGGCATCTCCTCCCGTTCAGGTCCTCCCCGTCTCTTCGTCTCCAGCACCACTCCGGCCCGCCTTAGGGCCAAGGCCCAACGCCGGTGCACGTCCGCCCCGCCTCGGCCTCGCCATTCCGTCCTCCAACAGCGTTAAGCCCGTTGGCGCCCCCCTCCCCCAGCTTCAGCCCGTCGGCCGACCCCAGCTGCCCGTGCTGCACCTCGCAACGCCCATGGGTAGCCAGGGCATCCCGCACGAACAAGCCCCTGGTCGTGGCCAGTCTCTCCAGAGCGCTTCGGGCGGCAGCGAGAGCAGCGCAGCCCACAGCCGGTCGGGTAGCTTCGGCCCACTGGACGGCCGCGCTAGCAACCCAACGTCCGCCGGTTCTCAGTACTCCGTGCTTTCCTTTGCCAGCCAGTACGGCATTGGCTCTAGTCGTCCGCACGGCACGCCGGACCCCGTGTCGGCCGTCGGCTCGATCTACTCTGAGATTAGCGAGGGCGGCGTGGGGATGGAGCGGGAAGGCAGCATGACCGGCCTGGAGGCGTTTGACCAGCAGGCCCTGGAGAAGGCGCGTACGTTGGACGTGGAAGACCTCGACGACGAGGGCTGGCGCATTGCGAGTATGGAGAAACGAATCATCGAACTCGGCAGCCTGGGCGAGGGCGCCGGTGGCGCCGTCACGCGTGCGCAGCTCAAGGGCGGCAAGTCCATCTTTGCGCTCAAGGTGATTACGACGAACCCAGACCCAGACGTCAAGAAGCAGATTGTGCGCGAGCTGGGCTTCAACAAGGAGTGCGCATCCGAGCACATCTGCCGCTACTACGGTGCTTTTGTCGACCCGGCCACGGCGACAATCTCCATCGCCATGGAATTCTGTGAGGGCGGCTCTCTCGACAGCATCTACCGCGAGGTTAAGCGCCTGGGCGGCCGCACGGGAGAGAAGGTCTTGGGCAAGATTGCCGAGGGCGTTTTGCACGGCCTGACGTATCTGCACTCAAAGAAGATTATCCACCGTGACATCAAGCCCTCCAACATTCTGCTGTGCCGCACCGGCGAGGTCAAGCTGTGCGACTTTGGCGTCTCTGGTGACTTTGGAACCAAAGGCGAGGCCAACACCTTTATTGGCACCAGCTACTACATGGCGCCGGAGCGTATCACCGGCCAGACATACACCATCACCTCGGACGTGTGGTCGACCGGTGTCACGTTGCTGGAGGTCGCTCAGCACCGCTTCCCCTTCCCGGCCGACGGCACAGAGATGCAGCCTCGGGCTGGCTTAATCGATCTGCTGACCTACATTGTCCGTCAGCCCATTCCCAAGCTCAAGGACGAGCCTGACGCGAACATTGTTTGGAGTGAGAATTTCAAATACTTTATCGAATGCTGGTATGTGTCGCTCCCTCCGCCCAACTGTCGTCTTATTACAGCGTATCCTTTGTACTAACCCATGGACAGCCTCGAAAAGGACCCCAACCGCAGAGCCACGCCGTGGCGTATGCTCGACCACCCGTGGGTGAAGGAGATGAGCGGCAAGCGCGTCAACATGAGCCGTTTCCTGTCCAAGGTCTGGGGCTGGGACGAGGAGCCGAACCAGGCGGCCGACGGCGGCACGCTTGCGGGCGGCACCCTCGCCAGCGCCATCAATTCGTTGAACTTGAACTAGCGCACACCATGCCACATTCGTTAACGTGGTAGAAGCACACCGACGCACACGTCTACCGACCGACCGACATTGCTTATGGCTCGTTACCGATGCCTCTTCTCTTACCACTTATGTGGCACTCAAATAAGACTGCAAACCGGGGGCACAGTTCCCATACTTTCTTTTGGCCTATTTTCACTTTTGGATAGCCTTCTGATGAGAAGACGAAACTCGCAAGACCAGCTCGAGAAGCCCAAAATGACCGGGAAAGCTGTACATGTGCATGGAGAGAAGGCGCTGGACGACTGAAAGAGAAGAATACCGCAGTAGAGCACTCTTTTGGATACGCTGCTGACTACTTTGTATGGCATTTTCTCTTTCCCTTGGTCAGGATACTTTTATGGCTGTGTTTTTTTTTCCTGTATATTTTGCCTGGGTACCATTTTGGACCGCTCGAGAGACGAAGACATGACATGCAATAATTCATTTTGATTTCATTTCACAAGAAAGTAAAACGGGACATCACCCTCTGGGTATCTTCTCGAACAACCAGACAAATCTCTGTTATGCAATCCGCCGTAACAGCACAAGCACCATTCCGGCATCTGTTTCCTATGCAAAATGCCCCCCTTTACTGGCCCTGATGAGGCTGCCATCATGTGATTATGCAAATGCAGCATCGTATATCCTTGGGTACAAAGTAGATGCTGAGCTCAGTAGTCAAAAAAATCATGACAGATTATGACAAGATGAAAATATCTTTCGAGATCCTTTCCCAGTTTTCTTTTCCTTTGAGAGGACCACACATGTAACACGCACTTGGATGTCGAGTGTAGATTTGCTTTCGTCAGACTCCTCTCCGACGAATAACTAAAAGTTTCGCACGGAGGGAATCGAGATTTTATGCCGACGGCGAAGCCTGGCGACTGGCCGCACGGCTAGCCGCGGCCGCCTGCATGCTCGGGGTCAGGGTGCCCGACATCATTTCACGCAGACACATAGTCGCGTAGTTGCTGGACGACAAGCGGAAATTGAGCGCCACGGCGATCTCCATGTCGTCGCTCTCGGTCAAGTCCTGTGCGCTCTCGCGCCAGCCAGCGGTGCGATTGATGGCTGGCGTAAAGTCGTCGGCCGATGCGTCTGCGCCAATGTCGTTGCCATTTCTAGTGATCTTGGTCTTGGGCACGGGCTTGAACAAATTTCGTAACGTCTTAACGTGATCGGGAGCGGGAGCAGGAATAGGTTCGGCAGCTGGAGCGGCTGGAGCGGCAGCCTTGGCAGTCGACGGATCGATGGCCATCGGCGAGCTAGACCGTCTGCTGCTCTGGGTGGGCGCCTGCACCGCGTCTGCGACGGTGGGTGTCCCCGCCTCATTGCTGTCCCCGTCCATCTTGATGCGCTTGCTGCCACCGTCCGCAGTGTTCTCGATCCAGGCATCATTAACGCGCTCGTCGCTGGAGCTGTGTGGCACGTCGGACGAGGGGCGACGACGCCGGCTGTTACCAACCTCCTCCATTTTGGCCTGGCCCTCACGCTGAGCCTTGGCCTTCTCGTTTCTCTTTTCCTCCTGGACTGCCCTGATGTCGTCGAGGTCGGTGGGGTGCATTTGCTCCGAGTCGTCGGTGTAGGGACGGACGAAGAACTGGGGCACGGCTGTGAAGCGAGCCATGATTTTGCGGTAATGGCCGCTCAGGCTGAACTCCTTTTGAGGGCGACGCATGTTGTAAGGGCTGAGACCGCCGTTCTCGGGCCGGCCCATGAACTCGCTGTAAAACTCCCCAATGTCATTGTCGGGGTACAGCACGTCAAACCCGGGCACGGGCAGGACAATGTCGTAGATTGTGTAGTGGCCGCCGGCAGCCTCCTCAGCGCTCAGCACACGGGCCTCCTGGTAGAACTGCTCCTCCTCTTGGTTCTGCTCCTCAGACATATCGTGGTCTCCGTCGGGCCTCAGACGGTTCGGGTTGGCTTCCGACTCGACGAGCACGAGGTCGCCGGCAACGACCTTGTCGCCGTAGCGCGACCACCGCTGGCTAACGGCCCAGTTCCACACAAGAGACTGGTAGGCGTGGATGTAGAGGTTGCGGAGGCCGCGGGTGATGCGGCAGAGGGCGCCACAAAAGTCGCGGCGTGAGCCATTCGTGCGTCCCAGGTGCTGAATGAGCGAGCTCTCTGCACTAAAGCGTCTCGGCAAAATGTTCAGCGCCGCATTGACGTCACCCGTGGTCTTGAACTTGAGGATGCCGCGAGCGCGGTTGATCTCGTCGCGCTGGAAGCGGGACTCAACATCGCTGTCGCCCAGGGCGGCGGCCAGTGCCGGGTCCACATGCAAGATTCCGTCACAAGCGCCCTCAAAATTCTCGCTGAGGATCATGCGGCCAACCTCTTGCGTACCAACGGCGTGCGTGCCAAATCGCTGGAGACCAAAGTAGTTGATGAAACCGTGCTGCTGGACATGGTCAAGGGCCGACTGCACACACGCCTCAGTCATACGAAGACGGTGGCTCAACGAGCAGTTGGCGCCGCGGGTCAGCTCGACGCCCTTGAGGACAATGACAAAGTCGTTTCCGCCGTGCTGGCCAAGTTGGATGGGATTTTTGTTGTAGTTGAAGTCACCAACCTTGACGTAGGCGCTGCGAGCGTTGATCCAACCAATGCCCTGGTTGCTGGGGTGCCAAACGCTGACGCGCTGCGTTGTGGCCGCACGGCGGTCCTTGGTGCCGGCGAAGCCAAAATTGGTTGCCTTGAGTTTTAGCATCCGGGCCAGGAAGTTGATGGCCTCGATGGTGTCCTTGTTCTCCTTGTACATGGTGAAATGCAGATACTTTCCGGAACCCTCGATGGCCTTGTTGACCTTTTTACCCGCTCGGTTCTCGCGTCTGTTGTCACCAGCATTATTGCCATTGTTGCCATTGGCACCTTTGGCACCTTTGGCGCCGTTTCGGCCACCGGTTCGAGCTCGATTGCTACTGGCACTCGGCATGGCGACGATGGCACCAGAGTCCCCCTCGGCACGGGTTTCGAAACGGCCGGAAAATATGCGGCGGATTTCCTGGTGATAGTGGCCTCGCTTAGCACGGTCGCTGACGACGGCAATGGTGAACTTGGAAGGAGCCGGGCCACCGCTGACAATAGCGGCGTAGGCCTCGTGCATTTGCTTAGCAACTTCGGGGCCGACGAGTGTCACAAGGCCATCGGTGTCAATCGGCGGCACCTCGGGTACTGTGGGCTTCTCGACGACGACTGGCACGGCCGGCACAGCCGGCACGTCTGTGGGGGCGGATTCTTGTTGCGTCGGAGCGGCCGTGGTCTCTGTTCGATTCTCTGCCTTTTTGTACTCTTCGACTACGTCGTCGTCGGAAAGGTAGACAACGGTGCCGTCCTTACGCACTTCGTGCACGATGAAGTCGGTATACCTGGCCGTGGGCGTTAGCGACGAGCACAGTAAATGGACATGGCCAGTCATAAAATTGGGACGTACCGTCTGCGAATGTCGCCCTGCCAGCCAAAGTCGAGAGAGGAAGTGTAGTGCACAATTCCAAGTTTCTTCTCGGAGTTGGCCCGCACTTCTGGGTTTTGGTAGCCAGGCGGTGCGACAGGTGGGTTGTTGGCCATGGTGATGGCTGGATGTGAGAGGAATGCAAGCCTCCAAGGCGTGAAGAAAGCAAGAAGAATGGAACACGAATGTAATAATAAAGCAATAAGAAACCAAAAGAAGAAAACAAGCAGTTTGACAGCCCGCTACCAAAACAGAACCAGGAGGCCTTTGGCTGGGCGGGACCTCGAGGTGGGAGACCGTGATGAAGACAGACGAGGGCAGCGAGATGACGGAGACGAAGAGGTATGGGAATGCCTGCTCTCGTGTGGCGAGAGGTTGAGGTCGAACGGGTTGGTAAGAGAGAGGAAGAGAAACGAGAAGAAAAGGAGTGCGAGAAAATGGATTAGGCAGTGGCCATATCCAGGTGAAGCGAGTGAAAAGGGAAGGACCGACCTTTGCATCGAAAAATCGCTGTTCGCACTTGCCGTTCCACGCACATTTTCAGTGTGGGAAGGCGCGATTCTGCCGCGTCAAACTTTCTTATTAGCGTAGACCGCTCTAAGCAAGTGGAAGGCGGTGAAGGTCAACAAGACCACCGCAATTGCTTGTGACCGACAACTCTCACGAATGTGAAAGGCTGCACGAGGCTTTGTGTCGTTACTTTTTTTCCATTTTCTTGGATTTGAACTGGAGATTTTACGAACAGCGTGGGCACAGAGAAATAATTGTTGAGAAATGAAATGTACTGTAATCAGTCTGTCTTGGGCCTTTTTGGTGAAGTTTTTATGCTCTACTCGAAACGGCGTTGTATTGATAGAGCTTAAGCTAATTTGACAAAGTAGAAAGAAGATACACGATGTGCATGTTGAAAAGAGAAAACCTTCCGGACGTTGAGACGTTCAGTCTTTGAGCTCCTGCCCGATATTCATGTATGATGTACGACGTACTTGGAGCTCATAAAAGCGGGGCACGCTGCCTCCGCCTCGAACTCTGTCGCTCTTGCCTGAACTGAGCATCTGCACATTGGCAACCCTAAACATCAACACTCTTCCTCACAATTCCACAAACCACAGCAGCTATGGCCAAGGGGAAAGCTGACACCAAAAAGGGCGACGCCAAGAAGGGCGCAGCCGACAAGAAGGGCGACAAGGGCGACAAGGACGTCAAGGGCGCACAGCAGATCAACGTCCGCCATATTCTGGTACGTTCCAAAAGAAGAGGAGGAAGAAGGAAGAATGAAGAAGAACGAAAAGACAGACAGCCGACTGACGACTTAACGAAAGTGTGAGAAGCATGCCAAGAAGGAAGAGGCGCTGGCCAAGATCAGGGACGAGGGCGCCAAGTTTGACGACGTTGCGCGGACGCATTCCGAGGACAAGGCACGGCAGGGCGGTGCATTGGGCTGGAAAGTGCGCGGCAGCTTAGACCCGGCCTTTGAGGCTGTGGCCTTTGAACTGCCGGCGAGCACGACGGCATCGCCGGTCGTGGGCGAGGCCAAGACGTCGTTTGGATATCACATTATCATGGTCGAGGGACGCAAGTGAACTCTTTTGGGTGTTGGGTGCAGTGGTATGAAAGGTATATCAATGTTATTTTCTTTTTCCTTTCCTTTTCAAGGTCGGTCACAGAGTCTCCATCGTCTTACTTCCTACTTGCGTCCCGGACCGACTGCCAAGTTCGCTATTTCCCTGCACGTGTTCAGGTCCAAGCTGCGGGACAGCCGTCGGATGATATCGTCAACGGCAAGCTCGTCCTCGAGAGAGCGTTTCAGCCCATGTGGCCACCTGCTTGGCCCGAATGGAGCTGCCTTTATGCGCCGGGCAGGGTCCGCCTCACCGAGAATCCGCTGTTGCTCCGCCCGCACGCGATGGCCCAGGGCGACCGCCAGCCTGGCGATTCGCGCCTCTCGCTGCTCTTTCGTCTCTGGATTTTTCTGACGGTGGACATCAACCGCAACGGGCTTTTGAGGCGGTGACTCTGATGGCGGCGAATGCGGAATCGGTGGCAGGATGGCCAGCGGCTTGGCCCGCCTGCTTCTCTTTGGCTTGGGCTTCTGGGCCTGACGTCGAGCTGCGACACGGCTCTCGGCCACGTTGAGAAAGTACTCTTGCCAGTTGATGTTGTGTGGCGCACGCGGAGGGACAGAGCCTTGGCCGTCGAGCCATTGCTGCACCTTATCCGTCACTTCCATCTGTCTGTTGTGTCCGCCGTTTCCGCTGTGTCTGTCGTTGGAATGCCATGCAGCTAGAGCCAGGGGCGTCGCGTCGCAAATCGTTGGACCGAAGACTCTCGTTTTCGCAATGAACCCGTTTCGCTTCGCCACTCTCATAATCAGCGGTTTCACTGTGGCCACGCCGCGACTCGCATACACATTCATCCAGCTGCGGCGGGGAAGCAGGCGGGAAACTTCGAGTGCAGTGGCAGGGCGGACGTGAAAACCTCCCGATGCTCTCGGAACCGTCATGTCGACGCCTGTCTGCCAAAACATCTTGATGTAGCTGGGTGTGGCCTGTTGTTCATGGCCTCGGCTACCTGGCTCCTTTTGCGAAAAACGACTTCCCGTGCTGGCACCGCGCGTGTAGTTCATTGCAATTTGCTCGAGGAGGTCGTTGGCTTTGGCAGCCACGCCAGCGGCGTCCAGCACCCATGGGTTTCGGCAGAAGACGGCCTCAAGAACAGGACGTGGTGGTGTTTGCCCTTGTGACCGGATGGCTGTATGCTCTGCGAATGGACCGTCATCAAGGCTACCTCGGATCTGGTCGACGAGGGAAATGCTGTGTTGTGGAAGCAGGGACTGTGGTGGCGGTCCACTGCTCGCAAACCAGGCGATCACCGTGCCTTGCCCTGCCGCCCCCGAGACTGTATTGGACAAGTCCCGCGACTGTTGGAGGCAGGCCGCATCGCCCACCCGTACACACCGAGTGCACTGCGCCGGCGGCCGCGGCAGAAATGGCGAGTCGGTCTTGCCACGGACAATGGCCTGGCGCAGCATGCGCTGCTCGAGCTGCTGACGGTGCCAAGGCAGCTCGGCTGTGTATTCGTCAACGGTGGCGCAAGTCGTCTCTAGCTCCTTTTTGAGATTCGAAAAGGTAGTCTCCCAGGAAGGCTCGGCAGTACTTGCCGTGCGGCTTGCCGGAAGTTGGCGCGTCGAGACTCTGTCGTTGACAAACGCCTGGGCGTATGGCAGAGTCGTGAGCGAGCAACAAGCGCCGGCGAGGGTGCACTGCAGGCACGGCGGGAGAGGCGGTGGCGTCGGTGGGAGCCGTAGGACTTTGGGCGGCGATTTTTTCTTTGTACCGGATGCTGTCGCCGTCTTGGCCGATCTGGTCGAATTGGACCGGCTGGGTTGCCCCCTGTTGTCCTGCAGGGTCCACGGCACCCCGTGCCCTTCCTGGAGAATGTCGTGCCATGCGCGCCGCCATTTCCCCTGATTTTCAATGCGAGCCATCATGTCGTAAAAGTGGTACTCGCTGGCTTCCTGCTCCACCACGGCCTTGTCGTACTCTTCCCTGTCCTTCTCCTTCTCCTCGTCGCTCCGTCGATCCGGTGGACCGAACCATTCTCGCCTCGAAGGCGGCCTGGCGTAGCTCTCAACATTGGGTAAGTCTACCCTTCGGAAAGTGGGCCAGAGAGACATCTGCAGGTCAAGTGTCTCTTGATGATTGGTGTTGCTCTGCTTTGACGCGTTGGGGGTGACGGTCGCTGGTTTTTGGTTCACGCGGCCTGCGATGTATGGCCAGCGGAGCTTATGTCCTGGACCGTTGTCTCTGATGGCCAATCGCTCACCTTGGTACACCTCGACCTCATCCTCGTAGGTGAGATCGTTTTGGTCGTCTTGGTCGTTTTGGTCGTACCAAGAGTCGTCTTCGTTGGCCATGGTTTCGTTTTGATGTCTTCCGTAAGAGCGGAACCTGATGGGAGATGTTCGAGGAATGCAGTGAATAGAGAGATTGTGAACGGACGAGGTCGATAGAATAGTGGCCAGCACTGATCTATCAAGGTGAATGTGATTTTGTTTGCCGGATTCTCATGAAGATCATGGATTATCTATCAAAGAGAGGAACGAGGACGGAGAATCTTGTTGTTTGGCCGGTTTATAAAGACTTTCCGACCTGGCCAGAATAAAGATGGTGAAGAGTCAATAGGAAGACAAGAGCATAGAAGAAATGGAAGAAAAGGAAAGAAAACGCAAAGTAGAAGAAATCTATCGACGAAAGGCGGAGACGTTGTCCTTATTGAAACGCAATGCAAAATGTCATGTCGTGAACAACATTTTGTAAATATGATAGGTGACATTTTGTTCAACCAACAACAAAACTGCGTGGATGTGCCGTGGAATTTGGCACATGTAAAATAAAACATCAATATAAAAGGGATTGTGCACCGATCAACTCAAAGGGAAAACAGTCAGAGAGCTTGAATTTGAACGGCATGCCATAATTTTTCAACTCTCTTGACTCCGCGATTTGACCAGCTTTTTTGCCTCAAAAGTAAAGATGTAGCCTTCACACCGATCGGAAGGAGGAAATGAACATGTCACAATACAAGCGTGGAAACAACTGCACCAAGAAACAGCTCAGAAAAGTGTACCAATGGCCAATGGCACCCAAAAAACCCAGCTTGTCATTTATCTCTCCTTCTTCATCGCTCTTCCCGAACGCACATACTTCCAACGTCATATAAAGAGATAACAAAATGACACTGTGAAACGCAACAAAGGTAAAGAAAAAGGATGGTGTTTTTCTGTTACCCCAAAATCCCCAAAAGTCGACACACCGCTTTCCGCTACCTCCTCACCCGTTAATTCGTACCTGCATCATCGCCTTTCACATCTTTACACCGCCGGTCTTGGTCTCTACGACCGCGCCTCTTCAAGCTCCAGCTCCAGCTGCCGGATCCGCTCGCTCTGCTCCGACGATAGCTGCAGCCGCTTCTTCAGACCCTCCACCTCACTGGCCAGGCTATCAATCTTGCCGTTCTGTGACTGAACGAGCGTCATGAGCTTGGCCAGGGTGTCCGCAATGTCGCCACTGCCGCCGCCGCCGCTGCTGCTGTTGCCGTTCACGCTCGAAGAAGAGGGGGCAGCAGCCGCGCTGGGCGAAAATGTCGAGGTGCGGCTGGCAGCGGGCGTGGAGGCCTTGGAGGCGATGGCCGAAGCGGCAGCAGCCGGTGGCGGTGGTGACGAGGTGTTTGACGTGGCCTGTGGGGGTTTGTAGGGCGTGATGGGCGACTTGGTCGCCGCGGCCGGTGCTGCGGCGGCCACTGTAACGCTTCGTGGCTGGGGACGGCCAGTCTCCTCAAAGCTCGTGGACTCGGCATCGTCGTCGTCGCTGCTCTCTTCGTCGTCGTCCTGGAACTTGTTGGCCATGGTCGAAATGGACTGCTTCTGGTCGTTTACGCTCGGGGGCGGGCCGGAGCGAACAGGTGCGGGGGTGGGCTCGGGCTCCTTCTTGGGCGGTGTGGCCTTCACAGGCGATACAGGGGCCGGCGCAGGGGCGGACGTGGTGGTAGTTGCAGGCGGCTTGTAGTCGGATGGCACCTCAACAGGGGCGTTGCCGTCATAGACGCTCTCGAGATCGATCTTGGCCGGGACACCGGTCTTGCCCGACAGCCAGTCCTTGGCGGAGACGGCCGGCTTGAGGCCGACAGCTGGCGGGTAGATGTCCGACTGGAAGGTTTCGGCACGGCGAGGAACGGTGAAAGAGATGGGTTCGATGTAGGAGTCGTTGACGGTCTTGTAGGCGCGCATGATTTCGTTCTCGTGGACCTGCGGGGTCGGTTAGTAAAGTCTGGCGTGTCATAATGCTTGATAGACAGAGCTGCGTCGACGTACGTTGACGCCGCGTCTCGGCACAAAGGCAAGGCCACGCTGGGGGTCGGCCGACTTGTATTCCGAAAGGAACTCGAACTTGTCGTTCTCGTATTCGTAGTAGCGGATGTTGCCGTCGCCCTTGCCGGCAAGGTACAGGCAGTTCGAGCCCTCGTCTGGACAAAACGTTAGCAATTTCGACGAGAACCTTGAAAGACGAAAATTAGCGAGTCGAATAGGTCGGGGAGGACATACCCCAGAAGGGCATCAGGACTCCAGAGATGGAGTCGAGAGTGCTGAAGCCGCCAATGGGTTCACCTTGGCCAGGCTCCCACAGCGCCAGCTGGCGTTCGCTCATGCGCGAGAAACCGGTGGTGGCGAAGCGGTTGTGCCCGCCCAGCCAGACGACACGGCTGTTCTTGGCGCCGGGGTGGCCAGAGAAATCGTGGACGGGGCTCTCCTGGCGGACATCCCAGACACGGATGCGCTTGTCACGCGAGGTCGTGACGAGCAGCGAGCCGCTGGGGTCCCACGACAGGCTCTGGACAATGTCGGGCTGCTTGAGAGCGAGGGACGCCTGGCCAGTCGTAATGTCCCAGAGCTTAATGTTCAAATCGCCCGAGGCCGACGCCAGGATGTTCTCGGCGGCGGGGTTGAAGAGGACCTGCCCGACTTTTCTGAAAACAGGAGCTTGGGTCAGTGGGTAATTGCCTTCAAAAAGGCCTTGTGCTGAGGGAAGCCTACCTGGAGTGTCCCTGGAGCTTGCTGACGGGTGTAACATCGACAATCTCCTCGGCATCGGTGTGCAGTGTAAAGTTGTCGGGGACTTGCCACACAAAAACACGGGCATCATCGGAGGCGGAGGCCACAATACGGTCGTTGAACGGGTTCCAGTCGGTGTCCAGGACGGCCGCCGTGTGGCCACGGAAGAGAGGGATCTGGTCGGGGATCTTGCCGCGCTCGTTGACCGGGATGACGGCGAATGCGCCACCGCCGCTCGACTCCCAATTGACCGAGAGGTACTCGGGGTTGGCCTGTTTTGCAGCAGTGGCGGGTTAGTTACAGATGCTTGGTGCTGTGGTGTATTGTGTGGTGTTTCAAGACCAGCTCGGCGCGGGCGTCCGCGTCAGCAGCCAGCACAAGCGCAATGCGTAATGCGCAATACTGCGCCCGGCGCGAACTGTGCCCAAGGCTGCAGTTTGTGCCATTTGCGCCAATCCCCCCTCCCCGGATTGTTCAAACGCACCTTCACCAAGTTTGTGTCCCAGGCATTGCGGCTGACGTGGAGGTTGTCGTAGCAGAACTCCTTGCGAGTCGGCTTGCCAAAGACATGGCCTAGAGTAAGGAACAAGATGTCAGCAAACAAAAGATCGGCCACGTTGCGCTAACGCAGGGACGAGCTGCGAATGAGGGAAATGCAGAGGAGGGGAGAGGAGAAGAAAGAGGAGCAGCAGTTGGAGAAGCGTGGTATGGCGTGCAACATACGGTATTTGGAAGCGCGCACAAACCGCCCAGCCATTTGGAACGAGGGTGTCGAGATGCGATTGAATTGGACGGAACTGGGGGGCGGAGAGCGAGTCGGTGGCAGGCAAGATGATATGAGGCACGAGGGCACACGGGAGACTGGCGGCGGGCGTGGATGAGGCGAAGCGAGCTCGTCGAATGGTCGGTGAGCCGAGAAAAGGGGGCTGTTGAGGTAAAGAGGAGAAAGTTGAGGAAGAGAGGTCGTCGAGGATGCAAAAAGGAGAAGGCGGATGGCGAGGGGTAGGAAGAGGAAAGAGACAATTGGGTTGGTGAGGAAGGAGGGAAGCATGGAGCGAGTAAGATACGATCAGCAGTACGGAGTAGGCACGACCAGCAGCCAGACGGGAAGGAGAACACGGAGGCAGGAGCACAGAGGGAGCAAAGGGAGGGAGCAATACTAGCAACAGCAGGTGGATGGACAGGGAAGGAGCAAGAGAAACGCCCCGCCACGACTAGCAGCGCCCGTGGACCCACTTGCCCTCTGTGTCGAGACCGTTTGATTCCAGCTTCCAGGGCCACAGCAGTTGTGTATGGGGACCGTAGTGCTTGCTCACTTGTACTAATTCCGTACAGGGTCTTGAACCACAGCGCTGTTACTTTCGACGTAACAACCAATCATATTTGACACAAAAGTGGACCAGCTTTGCGCAACAGATTGGGATGACAGCTGGGCGTTTGCCAATGCTCACGTTGGGGCGCGAGCCTTTTGTTTGGTTTTGTTTGGTCTTGTTTTGATAATACGACTATTATTGCTACCTGAGCTGTTGCTTGTTTGTGTTTTTCTTTATGTGAACCGGCCCTTCATTGGCTACGACACTGCAATGTTTTCACCTCCAGTTGCTGCCCGAGCTCAACTTAACCAAGGATCTGTTCACTTAACAATGCACTGTACATGTATATGACGCATATCCCGGGCAATACGGCTGGTACAGACAGGTAGCAAGGCTTGCACTAGAGAAAGAGACGAGGCTGAGCGACGAACCAAGCATTGGGAGCAGATCGCCAGCACATCTGGAGACCCTGTCCTTCAGTGGCGCTCACAGCACTGGTGCGCCTCCCACCTACAGTATATCTTTGCATGCAACCGACTTGCTTCCAGTCCCTTGCGGCGATGGCCGACCATAATCTGCAATCCACAAGCCACCGCTGGGATTCAGCAGCAGCACCTCCCGACTGGGGCAGGCGGGACAATAGGTGGAACACTGCTCCACTTTTCTAGTATTTCCTTTTCGAGACAATTACAGCATATCAACCGTCAGATTCTACACCGCGCATCAGTCGCCCCTTCCGCAACGTTGATGGCCGCATTGAAGATGCGACAAAGTCGACAGAGATGAAAAGGAAGGAGCTGCCGTTCAGACAATCATTTTGGCCCAAAGTATTGTCAAACAGCGTCTGCAGCGCTCTTGCTCGCAGGAAGCAGTCGCGGATCATTTGCCGGCCCGACGTAGCCGATTGCGCCTGCTGCCCCGCGGAAAATTTTCTAGCAACGCGACGGCAAATTCCCAATCTCGCAGTCTGGTGCCCTTTCATTGGCAGGAGCCAAGAGGAGGGGCGGCTCTTGCTAGATCGGAGCACTCCAAAGGGCCCCCAATACCCGCGCATCATCGTCCCTGAACTTTTTTGTTGTTCGTGATTTTGTTTCTGGTTTTCTTTTTTCTGTCTTTGTTTGTCGCTGCACCGCCAACCACCCATCCGAATCGTGCGTCTGCTGCAATTCTGTGTTTCCACCACAGGGTCGCCATTTGCAAGAACCGCCCGTGCTCGCCAACCGTTGTCGTCGACGCCTCTTACTCGACGGCCCTCTTCCTCCTCTCCTGATTTTCTTTTCTTTTTCGACCCGTCGCCTTTCAGCCATCGGCAGTTCTCTGTCTTTGGTTTTCTCCACGATCTCAGATCGAATCCCTGCAGACACAGTCGCAATGTGTGGTGTTTCAGCCATCCTGGTACGTCACTGGCACGCTGTGTGCCCCCACGCCGTCTTTACGCGTTGCGAGGGGGCACGAAATCATGAATTTACACATTGATGAAAACGCGGCGTGGCAACATTACTGACAATGACTCTTTTGCTTGCAGCTCGGTGATTCCAAGGCCGACACCGCGGCTGCCGACCTCCACGAGTCGCTTTTCTACCTGCAACATGTTTGTCTTCCTCCGATGCATCACAACGCCGAATACGTTTTCTGGTTTATTTTACCTGACTTTATTTTTTTTGGCTTTTTTTTGCGTTTATTTCCATCTTCTTACCATCGACTGCTTCCATATTTTGTCCACAACTGACATGCGTAACAGCGTGGCCAAGATGCCGCTGGTATCGCCGTGTGCAAGGGCGGCCGTGTCTCCCAGTGCAAGGGCCTCGGCATGGCCAGCAAGGTCTTTGACGAGGGCCGTCGCGTGTCGACTGCTGCCCTTCCCGGCTTCATGGGCATCTCCCACGTCCGCTATCCCACCGCCGGCACGACCTCTGCGTATGTCCCCACCTGCTCACCACGCACCAGAGATCCCCTCACTTTTGATTCAACTCGTATCGTCCCCGTTGACATCACTGACACATCCGCGACACAGTGCCGAGGCGCAGCCCTTCTTCGTCAACTCCCCCTACGGTCTGTCCATGAGCGTCAACGGCAACCTCGTCAACACACCCGATCTCATCACCTTCCTCGACTACGAGGCCCGCCGCCACGTCAACACCGACTCCGACTCGGAGCTTCTGTATGGCTTCCCTTTGTTCTAATTAGTAGTTTGGGCCGCTGTGTGTCTCTTTCTAACCGTAGGCCCTGTTTAGGCTCAACATCTTCGCCCATGCCCTCGGCGAGCTCGGCAAGGCCCGTGCCAATGTTGACGACGTCTTCTCAGCCCTCCGCGAGGTCTATGCGCGCTGCATTGGTGCCTTTGCCTGCACGGCCATGCTTGCCGGCTTTGGCATTCTCGGTTTCCGTGACCAGAACGGCATCCGACCCCTGTGCCTCGGCTCCCGCCCATCGGAGACCCTTGAGGGCGCCACCGACTACTTCCTCGCCTCCGAGTCCATTGCCCTGGTCCAGCTGGGATTCAAGAACATTGTCGACATCCTGCCCGGCCAGGCTGTCTTCATCAAGAAGGGCGAGGCTCCCCGCTTCGCGCAGATCGTGGCGCCCAAGTCGTACACACCGGATCTATTCGAGTACCTGTACTTGGCCAGAGCCGACAGCTGCATCGATGGCATCTCCGTGCACCGCAGTCGCCAGAACATGGGCCTGAAGCTGGCCAATCGCATGCGCCAGGTGCTCAGCGAGGAGGCCATCAAGGACATTGACGTGGTCATTCCCATCCCCGAAACAAGCAATACCGCCGCCGCCACGCTGGCCGAGGCGCTGTCCAAGCCCTTTTCCAACGGCTTTGTCAAGAACCGCTACGTTTACCGCACATTTATCCTGCCCGGCCAGAAGGCGCGGCAGAAGAGCGTGCGCCGCAAGCTGTCGCCCATTGCGTCCGAGTTCAAGGGCAAGGTTGTCTGCCTGGTTGACGACAGCATTGTGCGCGGCACCACGTCGCGCGAGATTGTCCAGATGGTCAAGGAGTGCGAGGCCAAGCGCATCGTGCTGGTGTCGTGCAGTCCCGAGATCACCCACCCGCACGTCCACGGCATCGACCTGGCCGATCCGGCCCAACTGCTGGCGCACGGCCGCTCGCTGCAGGACATGACCGACCTGATCAAGTGCGACGCCCTCGTGTTCCAGACACTCGACGACCTCAAGGCGGCCTGCATGGACGCCATTGACGGCTCAAGCCAGGTCACCGACTTCGAGGTCGGTGTCTTCTGCGGCAATTACAAGACGCCCGTGCCCGACAACTACTTTGAGAGGCTTAACATCATTCACAGCGCCGGCAAAAAACCGGCGGCTGGCTCTGTCACCACAAATGGCGACGGTGCCTTCCTGGTCGCAAGCAGCGGCCCCGTGAACGGTGTCCGTCATGCAGAAAACGACGAGGGTTCGGAGTACCGGGAGGATATCAGGTGCGTTCCTACTCTTACGTCCGCAAAGAAATGGATTATGCGAGGAACGACGGCCACTAACAACTTTTTAGTCTCTACAACAACAATTCAGGCCGGTCCTAATTGTTGTCGATACACCTGCCTTTCCAGCCTTCCTAGTCCTCTCGAAGATGAAGATCATGCAGAAAAGCCTGACTATATGCCCCACCAAAAAAAGAGACGATTTAATTTTTGATTTGCTTTGGATGTTTGATTGCGCAAACCAAAAGACAAGAGACAGACAACCTTTTTTTACCACTTACGGCTACATCCTTTTACCCCATGTTTTGTATTATTTTTGGCGCCGTCTTGAAGTTTTGTTTTTATTCTCTGCCCCTTTTTTGCTCTCTTGCCGCAATCGTTTTCAGAAACTTAGAGATATAGAAAACAAACCGGGGCATGCAAATATAGAAAAAAGAGCACTTAATGTCAACTGTGCATTCTGGCGTTTGGCTGCTTTTTTTCACGGCTTCTTTCAGGACAGGCGGCAGGTCTTGATATTTAATTTTAAATCCTTTTTCTTGTCCATCCAAACACGTACAGACCCAAACACGTACAGACAGACCTCTACATATACTTGCCGCAGGGAGAATCAATCTTAAACTGATGGACCACCAACTCGAGAAGTGAAGGGAGTAGATTAGCAAAAGAAGAAAATTGTTGAAAAAGAGGTGTTCAATTCGTGAGGAACCAGTTGGATGGATTGTTGGCTAAATTGACAAAAAGGCAAAAAAGAATGATTCCGCTGGGGCTCGAACCCAGGACCTTCTGCGATTGCAAGGAATCGCTTTGCTGTGAAGCAGACGTCGTAACCAACTAGACCACGGAACCGTTCGTTCTTGTTGTGGGTTACGACCACTACTAGTGCTAATAAAGGCCGCAGCCTTGGAGTCATTCGGCACAAAAAGCGCAGTAGTAGCGAAAAATGGACAATTATATTGTACAGAATACAGCATACAAAATTCCTTCGATTGCAATATTACACACAGTGTCCACGCATATAATGAAATGCTAAAAGGTAGTATTTTTGTAAAACACAAGTCGAAAAATAATGGGTGTAATACAAAGTAGAGAAGCAGGACGAAACATGCAAAAAGAAGCAATAAAATAGCAATCCAGTCCTTTGCACAGAGTATCATAAACGCCCTCCTTTCCAGCCATTATCCAGGGAAGCGTAGGCAGCTTCAACATTTATTTCATCGTCTCACGAGAAAACAAATAAAGCATGGACAAACTGGTCATTCTCGCAACCCGATCCCCTAAATTCTCTTTTATGAGAAAGAAGTAACGACACAACAAAATAAGAGAAAAAGAAAAAGACAAGAGAAAAACAACAAAACAGTCCGTCTCGCGCGTGCAAAGCCTGACACCGACCCGGTCTTTGGAATACAGAAAATTACATCTTTAAGAGAAATACGCCGCTTAGTGAAAACAGTCGGGGAATTTGTAAGGGCTTTTTGAGTGGATTTTCGATGGTGAGTATAGGAGATCGTCGTTGATATGAAATTGCGTGGTGGTTGAACGAAAATAAATTGAGTCAAACAGCGGCGGCTGTGGACGGTCGCATTACTACTCGTCTTCGGTCTTGGTGCTGGTGCCGTTTGTCGCTTCGCCGTTACCGTTGCTGCTGCCGTTGGCCGACTTGTTGAGGGAGACGCCGTTCGACACGAGCTTGATCTTAGGCAGCGGCGTGGCTGCCGGCGCCGGCGTGCTGTTGGTCGTCGTTGGCGCTTCGGACGAGGCCTTGGTCGCCCCGCCGGGCTCCAGCGCCTGCAGCTCGGGGTGCGCTGCCAGCGTCTCGGCGATCTTGGCATTGAAGAATTCCTAGACAGTTAGAATACTAATTCAACAGATGGGGATGTGGACACGGTACATCTACACAGGGAAACCTACCTCAATCGTGTTGGCGTCGGCGTACAGCAGACTACCGTCGTCGTTGTAGGTGCGGCAGTTGTTGCACAGAAGCTTGATGTCGGCTTGCATGTCTGTGAGCTTGTGGTACTCGCCCTTCTTGATGCGCGCGTGGATCTGGTTCATGCAGATGGGCTTCTGGATGATGACGTAGTAGTCGCCATAGTCGCGCTTCGACGGCAGCTTCACAAAGGGGCCAATGATGATGCGCTTCAGCGGCTCGTCGTCCTCGTCCTTGTCCTTGTCCTCAGGGTCTTCCGGCTCCGGATCGTCAACCTCCAGCGTCATCAGGCCGTCGTACAACTTGCGCAGGTTCTCCTGCAGACGACCGCGCAGCTGCGGCGTCATCGACGCCTTGGGGCTCCCTGCGGGGCTGGCAGCGCCGCCCGACACAGCACGGTCCGCCGCCGCAACAGCCTTGGGTCTGCCAATGGGGCCACGGCGCTTCTTGGCTGGCGGTGCGGGCTCGTCCTCGTCGTCGGCCTTGCGCTTCTCGTTCTTCGCATTCGGCTTGCGGCCGCGCTTCTTGACGGGTGTCTCTGGCTCCGGCTCGGGTTCTGGCTCGGCCTCCTCGGAGCTGGCGCGGCTGCCCTCGGGCGTGTTCTCGACCGAGCCCGTCAGCGGGTTTGCGTTGGCGAGGCGCTTGAGGCGATTCTGCTCGCGCTTGTCCTTGCGGGCCTGCTTGCGCGCCGCGGCAGCCTCCGGCGAGTCGTCGTCGTCGTCGACGGCCATCAGCCACTGCTCCTCCGTCAGACCGTCGTCGTACTTGACCTTGGTGCGCTCGCGCGCACCACGGCCCAAGACAACCTCGACTTCCTCCTCGACGGCGTTGGGATCGGCCAGGTAGATGTCCGGCAGTTCGTTTTCGGCCATGAGGCGGGGCACGGCCTGGCAGCCCGGTGCTGTGCCGTAGACGGGGTCGTGGAAGCGCTCCTCGTCCATTTTCTGGAAGGTCGCCAGCTCGTTCTCGCTGCGGGCCAAGATCATGTTGAGCTCCTCGTCGTCCATCTCCTCCTGGTCACCGGACTCTTGCAGGTCGGCCGACTCAAGCAGCGTCCGCAGCATGGCGTCGCGGTCCGTCTCCGACGACTTGTTGTCGAAACGACCTGCCTGGATGACCTTGCCGTCCATGTCGAGCTTGTAGCGGGCACGCTCCAGAATCTTCTCTTCGACGGACGTCGATGTGATGAGACGCAGAATGCGCACTTCGTTCTTCTGGCCGATACGATGCGCACGGTCCTGGGCCTGCAGATCCTGATGGGGATTCCAATCGGAATCGTAGATGATGACGGTGTCGGCCGTCTGCAGGTTCAGGCCGAGACCACCGGCACGGGTGGACAGCAAGAACATAAAGTAGGGCGAGTCGGGGTGGTTGAAGTCGCGCAGCAGATCCGAGCGCTCGTCGGCCTTGGTCGTGCCGTCGAGACGAAGGTATTGGAAGCCACGGTAGCGCAAGTAGTCCTCCATAATGTCCATGATGGCCGTCATCTGGAAGAACATGAGCACACGATGGCCCGTGGCCTTGTACTTGGGCAAAATGCGCTCCAGCAGCTCAAACTTGCCGGCCGTCCGCCAGAGCAGGTCGTTGCTGATGCTCTGGGGGTTCATGACCGTCTCAATCTCGTCAAACACAAAGGGATGGTTGCACAGCTTGCGGAGCTGCATGATAATGTTGCTGAGGCCACGCGCGCTGGTTTTGCCGCCCTTGCCGTCGCCGACAATGAGCTTGTTGTTGTTCAGCATCTCCTTGTACAGGCGGGCCTGCAGGGCCGAGAACTTGCACTTGATGACCTTTTCAGTCTTGTCGGGCAGGTCCTTTTCGACATCCTTCTTGAGACGACGCAGCAGGAAGGGCTGCAGCACCTTGTGCAGACGACGAATGACGAGGATCTGCTCTTCTTCGTTGAGCTCCATGCGGTCCTGGCCGCCCGTGTTGGCAAAGGGCGTGTTGAACCAGTCGTCGAACGTGGTGGCCGACTTGAAGATGTTGGGCAGGACAAAGTTGAGCATGGCCCACAGCTCGCCCAGGTTGTTTTGGAGCGGGGTACCGGTCAGAATGAGACGGAAGCGCGTGTGGTAGTATTGCGAGATGGTGGCGCTCAGCTTGGAGTTGCTGTTCTTCATGCGGTGGCCTTCGTCGACAATCATGTGGAACCACTTGATCTTGCTGAGCAGGGGGCGGTCCTTGATGATGTACTCGTACGTGGTGAGCAGGACCTGGAAGCGGCCCTGGCGGATCTTGTCCTGCTGGGCTTTCCGCGTGGTGGGGGGGCCCTTGTACACGATGCGGGCGATGGACGGGGCCCACTTCTCGAACTCGAGGTTCCAGTTGGTCAGGGTACTCAGCGGGACGATCACCAGGTAGGGGCCGGGCTGGTGCTTGCGCTCGATGAGGTAGCAGATGAGACTGATGGTCTGAATGGTCTTGCCGAGACCCATTTCGTCGGCCAGAATACCGTTGAGGTTGTTGTTGTAGAGAGAAATCATCCACTGCAGACCCTTGACCTGGTACTCCTTGAGCCTGCCGCCGACCAGCATGTTGGCCTGCTCGGTGACCTCTTCGCGGACGCGATGGGCGACGGCGTAGTAGTCAATCTTCTTGGTGCGGTCGTCGTCCTCCGAGTCGTCGTCGCTCTCGGGCTCGTCGGGGCGGAGGTTGGGGTCGCCGCCGTAGCGCTCGGCGGCGTCGCGCTGCTGGGCCTTGACGGACGAGGCCAGCTGGTGCAGGAAGCCGTCGGTCTGGCGCAGCAGATGGGTAATGCGGGTGTCCTTGGCCTGGTCGAGCAGCTTGAGGTAGGCCTCTTCGTCGTTGGCCTTGAGGGCCTGCAGACGCTGCTTGGCGTTACGCTCGATGCGCTTCTGCTCTTCCTTCTCAATGTTGAAGTGCTGGGTGTACATGATGCGGCCGAGCTTCTGCATCTTGTTGCGCTGCTGGTTGGCTGTCGTGGTCAGCTCGGCGCGGTGCTTGGTGACGGCAGCCAAGAAGTCGGAGTGGCGCTTCTTCTCGCGGTGCTCGCGGGCGTCGCGCTGCTGCTTCTCGAGCTTCTCGGTGATGCGGGCCTCGCGCACGTTCTGGCGCTTCATGCGGCGGTAGTTGCTGCGGTTGGTGGTCATGGCGAGGTTGTCGTAGTGCATCATCTGGCGGCCGATCTTGTCGCGCAGGGCGCGTTGCAGGGAGTACAGACCCAGGCACTTCATCTCGATGTAGGCTTTGCGCTTAATGGTGTCGTCGGGGGTGAGCGAGTTGGTGGCGGTGTCCCAGTGGCTGATGTTGCTGGGGAGCGACTTGAGCTCGGCGTAGCGGGCGCTCATGCGGTTGAAGACAATCTTCTCGCGCTCGGTGCGCAGGGCGTCAAAGTCGATGCCGGTGGGGAGGATGCCGGGGATGACGGGGCGGTTGATGCGGCGGCCGTGGTCGAAGTAGCTGATGGTCTTGCGGACGGCACCAGACTCGTAGGGCGACTGGACGGTCTTGAACGACTTGACCTTGCGGCCGGGGGCGGTCAGCTCTTGTGAGCCAGGCGCGGCGCCGTCGGCGTCGGCCTTTGCGGCGTCCGCACCACCACTAGCCGCAGCGGCAGCACCCTTACGTGCAGCAGCCGTGGTCGGCGTGGCGGGCGTCTTCGTGCCTGCCAGCTTCTCGGACACGGACGCGATCTGCCGCCGTGCGCGCTGGCCAAAGATGACCTGCTGTGTCTGCATGGGGACGCCGGCGTTTCGAGACAGGTGCTTGAAAGCCTGAATCTGATGCCGCAGCAGACTCAGCTGCTGCTGCGAGAAGTGGCCCGTCACGGGCGACGCAGCCGTGCCAGCACCAGCACCAGCACCAGCACCAGCTGGTGCACCACTGCCAGCGCTGCCCGGTGTTGCAGGTGCTGCACCACCCGCGGCAGCATTGGGTGGCATGGGCCGGCCCATCGGGGTGCCAGGGAAGCCTGGAGCCTGGCGGCCGGGGTGCGGCGCCCCGCCACCGTTCATGATGGCGCCGTTGGCGGCAGCAGCGGCAGCTTGCTGTGCGGCCTGCTGTGTGTCGCGCTGGTGCTGCATCTGGCGCTTGAAAGCCTGTTGTTGCTGGATGTTGAGCAGGAACTGCTGTGTCTTGATGAAGTCGGGGTCGGTCTGGGGCACGCCTTGCTCCTTCATTTGCCGGAAGCGCTGTGGGAAACCAGGTTAGCATGGGGGCCGTAGACGTGGCGAAACACAATCACATAGACATACGCTGTAGACCTCCTGCACCTGCTGCGGCGTGATGCCGTTGGGCGGTGCGGTGTTGGCCAGCGGCATGGCAGCTGCCGAAGCCTGGACGGAAGCCATGGCGGGCAGACGATGCGCGTCGCTGTAACGTGTGTCCTCCGGATCGTGGTCGAAGAGGACGAGCTACCGTGATGGATGATGGTGTGGAATGAGTTTGTCGAACGGCACGAGTTTACGAATCGCGCATAGCGGACGTGGCAGTTGGGCCCGGTCGCGTCAAAATGGGCGAAAACGAACGTCAGGGGATCGTCGCCGGCGATGACTGGTGATGACCGGTGATGGCGGATGGACGCTCGTCAATTGACAGACGATTCCCGGCGGGTTGAGAATCGCGTCGTTGTGTGCGTCGATGCCGTTTCTTTTGCTGTCGAGACGGTGTCGCGTCGTGTGGACCGACGGGGCGCGAGAGCAAAAGGGGGGCCGACACGAAAAAGGAGCGTGTCGTAAGGCTGGCAAACGGCCGAAAACGAAGCAGAGTCGTGTTGTCGAAGAGGGTCAAAAGGGGCACAAAAAGGGCACAAAAAGGCACCGACAATGGAAATCGGCGTTGGGGGACGTAGGCGGATGAAAACGACAACAATGGGGAGGTCAGAATAATCACAATAATGGGGAGGGGGGAAGCTCGCGAAGCTGGCCAAGCGCCAAAATGCGAAAGGGCCAAATGAGCGAAAGGGCGAAAACAGGGGTAAAAGGGATTTGAAGCAAAAAGGGGACAAAAGGCAAAGACGGAAAAAAGAGGCTCAAAAGCGGTTGCGGCGGGTTTGGGGGTGCTGTGTAGCGGAGTCAAAGGCCGGACGCGCGAGAAAAATCGCGTGTTTCGATGTCTCGGCGTGTCCTCCGATGGCACTCGATGGATTCGGAGGGGGTCTGGCGATTTTGCGATGCGTGCGCTGTTCGCCGGTTGATGATGTGGGAAGTGAAAGGACCACGACTGGCAAGATTTCGTGTGGGAGAGTGGGTGGATTGATGGTTGGGGCGGGATGGCTGCGCCTGCCTGCGGTAGATTTCAGAACGCAGGAGGCAGGAGGCAGGCAGGCCGTGGCGCGTTGCTGCCTGAGGCGCCAATCGTAGCGCGACGCGCAGGCGATAAACAGAGGCGAGGCCAATGGGAGTTGAAAGAAAAGTGGGGGCTGAGAAAGAGTTTCTCCACGGAGTACTTTGTAAGTACATATCGCTCTATACGAGTCTACGATTCGCGAGACGCTTCGACCGTACGACGGACGGACCGCGCCTCTAGCGCACACGTATTCTATGGTTCTTCCTTTCATATCTTGTGTTCATGGGTATCGTAGTTTCTATTGTATTGTACAGTTGGCGCCGGTAAGGTCCCAATTGAGATCCCGTATGATGTGACTTTCAAAACGTCCCCCTCAACGTCCCCCCCAACTACCTCTTTGCGCGCTTCTTGTCTGGAGCATCCTCTTCGTCGCTCAGCTCGGCATACTCCGTCACAGGCGCATTGACGCTGTATGCAGCCGTGAAAACCGGGTCCTTCTTGGCCGCCTCGGCGTACTTGAGCAGCTCCTCGCGCGGGTCTTCGTGCAGCATGCGGCTTAGCGGAATGTTCTTCTCGATGCTCTTGTCGTCGGGACCGTTGTGTGCAAACGGCGTCTGCTGCGGCATCGTCGGCCGCCGCGGGTCGAGCGACCGGCCCGTGTTCGTGACGCCCTTGCGCCGCCGGCTGGCCATCTGCTGGGCACCCGGCACCACGATGTTGTCGTTTGTGATGCCAATGTTCTGGTCCATGGTAAAGGACGGGTCGTCGTCGACGTGGCGTTTCTTGGGCGCGCGGCGCACAACGTCGGCGGCGCCACGCTGCGACCGCGCCGGGTCAAACAGCACGTGCGTCTCGCCGTTTGCCGAGCCCGTCACCACCTGGTTGAGCTTGGCGTGCCACTCGACCGCGATCAGCGGGCTGCCTGGCGTGACCGGCGTGACGACCTCCGGCCGCAGGTTGCCCGGGTTGAGGACGTGCAGGCTGCCGTCGGGCGAGCCGACCAGAATACTTGTCGAGTTGGGCCCGTAGCGGATGTTGGCCATGGGGAAGCGGTCCGCGGCGTCGGTTGACGCGTGGGCCGCCGTCACCAGCGGCTGCTTGAACTTGCGCGTGTCCCACAGCTTGATGACGCCGTCGCCGCCCCGCGTCACCACCATGCGGCCGTCGGCGCTGACGTCGATGCCGCCCGTCCACGTGTTGGGTGCGTGCGCGTCACGCACCTCCGCCGTCGGCCGCGCGTAGGGCCCGTTGTTGCCGCTGTACAGCACGAGCGAGCCGTCGAGCGCGGCCGCCACAAGCACCGTGTCGCTGCCGCCGCCGTGGGCGGGCGCGCCCCACGCAACGGCCGTCATGCGCGAGCGTCCCGCCGATCCGGCTGCGCGCGACTTGAACACGATAACGTCGCGCTGGCTGCGCTTGTTGTTGACGTCCCAGATGCGCAGCGTGCTGTCGGCGCCGGCCGTCACGCACGTCTCGCGGTCCGTCGGGTGCCACGCGCCCGTCGCAACCTCGCCCACGTGGCCCTTGGTGTTGTGCATGTCGCGCAGGTACATGTCGCCCTTGACAAACTCAGTCAGCACCTCGCCGTCGCGCGACAGAATCTTGGCCTGCGGGTGCGCCGTGATGCACAACAGGACGCTGGCGGCGTGCGGGTGGAAGGCCACGTGGTTGACCGGGTGCGACTCCGTCGTGGCCGACAGCTTGCTGGCGCCCTGCTGCCACGGGTCCACGCTCTTGAACGCCCGAAGCGTCGTCGGCGTCATGGACGCAAAGTCGTACAGCTTGACATTGCAGTCGCGCGAGCCCGTGGCCATGCGCGCGCCGTTGGGGTCGAGCGACACGCTGGTCACGGCCTTTTCGTGCGTCTTGAACACCAGCTCGTGCGACAGCGGGAACCGGTCCAGATCGTCGCCGTCGTCGCTGTCGCTGTCGCTGTCGCTGTCACTGTCGCTGTCGCTGCTGTTGTCGTCGTTGTCGTCGTCCTTTTTTGCCCCCTTGTCGTTGGCGCTCGCCGATGCCCTCCATTCTGGCCGTCGGCTGCGCTCAATCTGTGCATCAATGTCGGCCTCCTGCGTCTTCTTGCCAAATGCCGCGGGCAGAAACGACTGCAGCAGGGCGTCGCCCGGCCCTTGGTCGTCGCTGTCGTAGCCCTCGGTGTCGCTCATTGTCGTTGTTGGGCGTGCAATTCTTGTTGTCGCTGGGACAGAAGCTTGGACGTAAGCTGCGGCGGTTGTAGTTGCCGTTTCTGGAGCTTTGCAATATGGAGCTAGCAGAATGATTAGTCACTAAGACCATGAACTTTCGCGAGCCAAGAACGTCAACAGACTCTTCAAAACAAACAAATAAACAAGCGCACAAAAAACACAATCGAGCTTTTAAGTTGACATCGCAATCTCATTTCACCTACTATCATCAAAGGCTGTCAATGTTAGCGACAATGGTGACGCGACTCAACTTTTATTTGATGGTGTCGCCTCGATACTCGCCACTTACACCTTTGCCACACATTGCACGCAAGGACGAATAGAAACGGTCAATCAAATTGGAGGGAAACACGACTACCAATAAGACAATATACGCAACAACGAACAGGTGATCCTTCGTGACGATTCATTTGCGACCTCAAGTCCCCGTGTCGTTACAAGACCATTCCTTTTGCGAACGGTTTCTCACCAATTGCATGCCATAGGCACCGCAGAGCTGTTCCACATGCAGTGGCGTCCTTCCCCCACCTCCGCTTCTCTCTTGCGTTTTTCGTCTTTGCGTTTTCATCTGCCCTTTAACCGATGGTTTGAGCTGATGGCGCACCCTTTCCGGTCTCTAGTTCGGTGAAGGACGGCGCTTCCTTGCCCTCCGGTACGATGTGGCCAGGGATGGCCCGGTTGGGGTCCTCGAAATCCCTCTCCAGGTTGACGTTCTTGGTGCGCTCGCGCGCACCACGGCCCACGAGGAGCATCGTTTTTGAGTTTCCAAGTCGACAGTTACACGACCAGAATAAAGCTGCGTTTATTGCAAATTGCCCTGTTTCCCTATAAACGCGGATGGCGAAAAATTGCCGTTCATGAAGCCAAAGAGCAGGTCGTGGCCCGACAGGCCAAAGTCGGAAAAGGACTGCAGCTGGGACAGCGGGTCGAAGGAGGGCGATTCATCAAACAGCTGCCAGGGAAAGTCGGTGTCGTCAAAAGTGGTTTCCCGTGCAGGACCATGCAGCGTGTCGCCGTTGAGGGTGGTATTGGCGGTGAGGTTGTTATTGACGGTTCCATTTTGTGCCACATCCTGGCTAAAGAAAGAAGCTGCGGCGTCGACCACGTTGCCATTTGTGGCAGAGCCTGCGCCACCACTCATAAACGACGGCCCCAGGTGCTCGGGGATGCTCTTGGCAGCCATGAGTTTGCGGATGATGCGTGCCGTATCGGCGGCGCCAGAGTTCGGCACGGCCAGCTCATCGAGACAAGCCAGGCTGGCACGCAGAAGCAGTGACGGGTCAGGGGTGGTCATACTATCAGCGCCGGTGCTGTGGTTATTGCTGTTCTGATTCTGGGGCTGGTTCTGGGGCTGGTTCTGGGGCTGGTTCTGGCTGTGTTGGTTGGCTGCTCCGAATATGGCTGCTGCATTGTGGACGTGGATTGTGCATGCCACATAGACAGCATAGACCAGCATGTAGTTGGATTTTCGGAGCGGGTAGGTGGAGCGATAGGCCAGGGCCAGGTTGGTGATGTTGCGGGCCGCGACGGTGCAGCGTTTCCATGCGTGTGTGGCCTCTTCAGCGTGTGCAGGCGAGGGTTGTGCGCCTGTCGCACCAGCCATCGTCCCTGCCGAGATAAAAGGACAGTGCAGAAGAATGACGAGGCAGTGGTAGGTCGTGTGAAGGATGGTGAGGTTGGGTGTCGCTGGTGTGGTTGGCGTTGTACCATTTGCACCATCGACGCCGCTGGTCCCTTTTGCAGCCCACGGCTCGTAGACAAGGTGCGGCGGCAGTTCGCGGTACCAGCGGACGAGCGCATTGTCAATCTGCCGCGACGCCCGGCTCATCTTCTTGCGCGATCGAGGTGCGGCGGCTGTGGCCGTCCCGGTGGGTGTTGCGGCCACCGTCGTTGCCGTGGCCGCGGCGTTCGTGGCAAAGTAGATCTTGTTGATGATGTTGGTCATAAGCTTGGCCAGCAAGCACAGCTGCTGGAAGACAGAGACCGAGTGCGTTACGGCGTTGTTCCAGCGGCCGCCGGCAGCAGCCAGGGACGTGGCGTCGGCCTGTGACATGGGGTCGACGTAGGGCACCCAGGGCTCGAGCTCTTCGAATGTGTCGAGGAAGTCGCGCGAGACGTGGGCATCACGCAGCTGGATGGTTGCGGGCCGGCCCAAGTAGACGCTCTGCAGTTTGTCGCAGATAAAGGCGCCCCAGAAGACACGGCGGCGAATCTCGAGTTCCTCGGGACTGAATCCTGAACTGGTCTCCTTCTCGTCGACGTGCAGGCCCAGATCAAAGACCATGCGCAGTGCGTAGCCCGTGTACAACCAACCCTCTGACGTGCAGCCGCGGGCGTTGTAGGTGGCGCCGAGCATCAACAGGCCGACAATGGTGGGTATACGCGACTGACCGAGCACAGCATCGCGCGCAATGATGTCGTCGCAGCGCTGAAAGAAATCGTGGCCCGTAGTCTCCGGGTCGCCGGGGTCGGTGCGCAGCTCGATGCGCTCAGAAAACTTGCTGGCGCAGGCAAAGACGGCATACAGCAGAAAATCCGTGCAGTACTCGCCGCCGTCGACGAGCTCGCGCATAAATGCCGGGCGGTAGGTCAGCAGGTAGGTATGGTGCTGGCGGTTCCAGTGAAGGTCGAGCAGATGCAGGGCCAGCTCGGCAGGCACACCGCGGATGGTGGGCAGCAGGCGCAGACGGTACTCTTGCTGGCGGCTCATAGCGGCGTTGGCAATGAGCTGGTAGCTGAGGGGGGACGGAGCGTCAGTGGAAGCCGTGGCGCCGTGTGGTGCTGGGTGGTAATGTGTGTGGTGGGCGCGAGCGCCTTTGGCGGTTGCCCTGGACGGAGAATGTCCAGTAGCCGGCACCAGCACGCCCATGAATGTGCGTTTTTCAAAAGGTAGCACTGAAATTGTGTCCTCGTCTTGGATTATCGTGTCGTTGGTCTCCTCATTATCATCGTCGTCGTCGTCATCATCATCATCGCCATCGCCGTCGTCGTTGCGCATCATGTGACTGACATCGTGCTCATCGCCGTGGCCGTGGCCGTGGCCGTTTTTCTTGCCGACCAAGCCAGACACAGCGGCTCTGCCGTCTTCGCTGGCAGTCTCTCGTGATCGTGATACTGATCCTGAGCCTGGTGGCGTGGGATAGCGGCCGAGTCGTGGCCCGTCCGTGTCGACGGCCATGGGCATATTGGAAGGTGGCGTCGACGAATATCCCGCTGTTTCTGATGTCGGCATTGCGGCCAGTGCGGCTGCCGCCGCTGCCGCCGATGTGTCTTGCGGACTTATTGTCGTTCCTGCCATTGTTAATGGTGCACCGGCTCGGATGTGCACCTTGCCATCAACAATACCGACCAGTCCAAGCAAGGCGTCTCTTTCACTCGACGTAGGGGCGAGTTTGAGGCGGATCAGCATCCTCTCGAGCACGTTCTTTTCCTCGCGTGCCGCATTCAGCAGAGCTGTTGACGGCCGCGGTTTGACGGGCTCATGGTGGTAGCTGCAGGTGCGGTTGCTGACGCGGCAGGTTGTGCACGTCGGCTTGAGTGCGTCGCACTTGATCTTCCGTTTGCGGCAGAACTGGCATGCCCGGGCCGTCGACCGCGGCTCCACTGCCAGCGACGAGCCCTCACGTGGGCGTGTCATTGTGAGAGTCAAAGTGAGAGCGGGTGTCAGAAGGAGGCCGAGGTGCAAATCACTGCAGATGAAGCTGGTTGTCTTGCGTGCTTCCAATCTGGTGACGGATGCAGTGGCGCTTCTACCTTTCTATGGCTTACCGAGAAGAAGCAGAACGGCAATTGGGAGCAAGAAGATATAAAAAGACTGTTTGCAATCGTCCGTAGTTGTCCCTTCTTTGTTTGCCTAGTCAGTTTGGCAGATGGCGATGTGGACGGTGTTGAGGATGCTTTTGTTGACTTACAGTGCTAACTTTAGTGTTATCGCCGGTCTGCGGGGAGCTGAGAAAACGCAAGACGTCCGATCCAGACTGCATCCTCGACGGCTCAGTAAAACCTAATTTGACTTTACCAAAGCTAGAAAGACCAGCCTGATCTGCGTGTATCACACATAATGTCTTTGTGAGGATGCTTTGCGAGCGGGGAAAATAAAGCCGGGGCGCGTCATAGGATGCAATAGACCGCAACCGACGCCAATAAGACGTTTGACTCTTCCAAGGGTTTTCCTATTGCGGCGTCTTACTCTCCGTGCGCCTAGCGTAAAAGAACCTTGCAAGTGCCAAAGTGACCCAGAAAAGGCCCGCTTTGACGGCCTCAATTCCTCCACGCCCACTTATACGCTCCGATATCGAGGGCTGAGCCGGGAACGGTCCCAGCCACGGTTCCTGGCCGCGACGAAGTGGCATAAGCGGCGATCCGGCCAAATTAGATCGTCAAACGAATAGTCGTTTTGCTTGTATATGATTGGGGAAGGGCAGCGTGAGTGACTGCGGTTTTGGTCACGCCCTTCTCTCGCACAACGTAGCAACCAATCTACACCAACCGACTCCAACAAACAGTGATCAGTCTGAACCGTGCTGACACTGCCATCTCCGGCTTTCAACCGTTTCTCTCCACAGGCCGTCTTCCACCATCGTCCTCTCGTCTGTCCCTCACAATGTCGTCCCTCCCGTCCGAGTGTGATGTGCTCGTTGTCGGCGGCGGCAACGCAGGCTTCTCGGCGGCGTTCTCGGCTCGTGAAAACGGTGCTCGAAACGTGGTGCTGATCGACAAGTGCCCTGAAGAGTGGGCGGGCGGTAACACGTATTTCACGGCGGGCGCGTTTCGCACGGCACACGCGGGGCTGGCCGATCTGCTGCCGCTCGTCAACAACGTCGACGCGGCCACGTCGAAAATCATCGACCTCGAGCCGTACACGCCGCATGACTTTACGAGTGACCTGCTGCGTGTGACGGCCGGCCGGTCGGACCCGCAGCTGGGCAGCACGCTGGTGGGCGACTCCAACGATGCGGTCAAGTGGCTGCACAAGCACAGCGTGCGGTTCCAGCTGTCGTTCAACCGGCAATCGTATAAAGTGGACGGGCGGTACAAGTTCTGGGGCGGTATGGCGCTCAAGACGCAGGACGGCGGCAAGGGCCTGATGGAGGACCTCCGGCGGGCCGCCAAGCGGGCGGGCGTCGCCACTTTCTTCTCGACCATGGCCAAGCAGCTGGTCACGAATGCCGAGGGGACAGTCACCGGCGTCGTGGTTGCGTCGACGGACAGCTCGTCCACCCATAGCACCAGCAGCATCTCTGCCAAGGCCGTCATTCTTACGGCCGGCGGTTTCGAGGCCAATCCACGCATGCGTGCACAGTATCTGGGCCCCGGCTGGGACCTGGCGCTCGTGCGCGGCACGCCGTACAACACCGGCGACGGCCTCGAATTTGCGATGCGCGACGTCGGGGCCAAGCAGGCCGGGCACTGGTCCGGCTGCCACTCGGTGGCGTGGGACGCCCATGCACCTGCCAACAGCGGCGACCGGGCCGTCTCCAACGAGTTCACCAAGTCGGGCTACCCGCTGGGCGTCATGATCAACACGCAGGGCGAGCGCTTTGTTGATGAAGGCGTGGACCTGCGCAACTACACATATGCCAAGTTTGGCCACGCCATCATGGGCCAGCCCGACGGCCAGGCCTTCCAAGTGTGGGACGCGCGCGGCACGCCCTGGCTGCGTGACGAAGAGTACCGCGACAGCATCGTGCGCAAGATCCGGGCCGACACGCTCGAGGAGCTGGCTGACAAGCTCGCCCGAGACGAGGGTCTGCACTCGCCCGCCAAGTTCCTCGAGACCATGCACGACTACAACGCCGCCGCCAACGACTTCCAAGCCGAGCACCCCCACGCCAAGTGGGACCCGGCCGTGCGTGACGGCGTATCGACACAGTCCAGCCGCGGCGGCCTGGCGCTGCCCAAGTCCAACTGGGCCCTGCCCATCGACAAGGGCCCCTTTGTGGCCGTCAAGGTCGCCTGCGGCGTCACCTTCACGTTTGGCGGTCTCGCCGTCAACCCGCAAACGGCGGCCGTTGTCGCAGCCAGCAATCGGGAGGTACCAGGTCTCTTCTGTGCAGGCGAGATGCTGGGCGGCCTCTTCTATGGAAACTACCCAGGTGGCTCGGGCCTGACATCGGGCACTGTCTTTGGTCGTCGGGCAGGGCGTGCGGCTGCTCAACGTGCCAAGGCATTGTCAAGTGTGCGGTCGAATCTGTAGGGGGCGGGTTGATGTCGGGAAGAGTGGTGTGTCGTGTGTCGTGTGGTTTTTGTGTAGTCGTGGTTTTGTTGTGGTCGTGATATTGACGGTCGATGTTTTGGCCTCTTTGCGGGCTTCTGTTTTCGCCCTTTGATCTCGGTGCATTGAGCGTGAATGTCCCTGTACAAAAGCAATTATACAAATAGAATATCACAACGAGGAATGTCTCTCGCAAAACTATACTGTTATGTTTCAGTGACATGTTGTCTTGTCTATGCGTGCCAAAGAAAGAAAAGAAAAGAAAAAATGGGAAGGAAAAAAACAAGTACGAAAAGAAAAGGAGGCAGAAAAAACCGAGGAAAGAGCGAAGGGGGCAAAAAGTTCACCTTCCCAGCTTAATAGACGCGCTATTAAGCTGTCAGGCTATGAAAAACCCCGGCAGAGGTTTTTGCACGGCCACCCCAGGGCCTGCCGACCAAGGAATGAAACCGCCAACGGGCTCGGCTCGAACAGACGCCCTTCTAAGAAGGGCGTGCAGTCGAACCGACTCGACCACTTGGCCATGGCCAGTGACCAAGCGGTCAAGTTGGAGGGCAGTCCGCTCTGCGCATATTTAAGGCTTGGGTCGCTCTTTCCTGGCTCTAATTGCGGGAAGTCATGTGCTCTTTTTTGCTCCTTCTTTTTCTGCCGCAGACGTTGCCGTGAAGGCATCCGGAGGGAAGGTGCGGTGGTGGGGCCGGGCTCGGTCGTGCCTGCCGTTTTAGTGCGCCCCCAGCATCGCATCTATTTGGAAGGAGTGGCCGGCGGTAGAATTGCCGACTGGGCGGTGAGCGGTGTAGTCAGAGAGTTCAGGAAGGAGCAGACGTGACGTAACAAATCGTGGGATTTCGATGCTGTGTCACGATTCTACAGAAACTAAAACTACAAGTTACCAAATGCTGGTTGTTTACTTACCCCTGGCGGCATCGGCAAATATGGAGGGAGACTATCAGACGCGAAAATGAAGGGGACCAACAAGCCGTCGAAGCTGCTTACTCCAAGTCACCAAAGAGCTTCTCTTCTCTCCACGGTCTCCTTATTCACGGTTAAGTACTCTTGTCTGATATCTATGATTATTCCACCTTGACGGTTCAAAAGCTAACTATTCTTCTGTAGTAGTGGTAAATAGAAAAAAGAAGAAGCAAAATGGAAGCGCACAACACAGCGGACAAGCCACAAACTGGCCACAGGACGGCAAGTTTATGGATTGGGATTGCCTCGGGTGCGATGCTTGTCCGGAGAGCATTCTCGAGCTCCAGGACGGGATCGAAAATGTGGCTCGGAGATATTCATACATCTGGACAACTGATAGTTTGACCCGGCATGGAGAGGTGCTATCAAAGTGTATACAATTTGGTACCAGGGAGAACAAATATGTGCGCATACAACCAAAAGGATCTTGACGGGAAGTACAAACCAGTTTTGCAAGCGCTCGTTGAACTCTAGGATCTCGTTGATGGTGTCCTGCAAATGTGCAAATGGAGGGATAGCAATCTTGCTAGGAAAACAATACCATTCATTAACTGCGGTCTGTGGAATATAGTTATTCATTGTATGGAGCACGGTACCACCAATCTAGAGTTTTTCAAAATTGGATTATTTCAATTATTATTTTAGCTGTGTCTCTTTTATTTATATCTTTTTCAAAAGACGTACATTGCATTTATTTCACTTAGAGAAGAGTTATTGAGTCGGTAAGTTGTTGTATAAAAACAACATACTACGTCAGTTATTAATGTCCGCACCATATATTGTAGTTTGAATAATACATTGCATGATTTGATTGAACTTATGCTCGATAAAGGCCCAGAATAAATAAAATAAACCCAGAGACGTCCAAGGGGTGATGTCGTTGGCGTGTAAGTGGAGAATGCATCTATGCGGTATGCGATTATCGGGGCCACACTGAAAATTTGAGCTATTCGGTTCTGTCCCTGCACCTACAACGACCTGCAAAACAAACATTCACCCAGTCGAACCTTTTTATTTTCAGAAAGTACTGGAGGTTCTCTCACAGCTTATTTTTCCCACTGCGTCTCACATATTTCACCCATTCGCGAGTTTGAGCAAGAAACTCGGCTTCCACACGCCTCCTCACTATGGGCAAGTCCCGCAGAAACAGGTCAGGTCCGGCAGGTCGCCGTCCTGACCCCATGAGCGGCGGTGGGCCTCGTGCTCCCAAGGCTGTCAAGGAGCCCTCCGATCCGGCCCTGGCAGCCTTGCGCACAGCCAAGATTCTGCCTGTCCTGGGCGACCTGCGCAGCGCCAACCCGGCGACACGCACGGCGGCGGCCGGCGCCATTGCCAACATTGTCGAGGACGCGCGGTGCCGCAAGCTGCTGCTGCGAGAGCAGGTGGTGCATCTGGTGCTGAGCGAGACGCTGGCGGACGCGAGCGTGGAGAGCCGTGCGGCGGGCTGGGCGGTGCTCAACGTCCTGGCGCAGCACGAGGCGGCGGACTTTTGCGTGCACCTGTACCGCAGCGACGTGCTGACGCCGGCGGCACACGCTCTGGGCCAGATCCGGACCACGCTCGAGCAGGGCAGTAGCAGCCAGCAAACGGACAGCAAGCTCACCAAGGCGCAGCAGGACTTTATGTGGCGCATCACGTCGGCCATCATCGACCTGCTGGGCCAGCTGGCGGACGCGCGCGACGAGATCCTCGCGGCGGTGGCCAAGGAGGCGACAATTACGCGGGCGCTTTTTGCCCTGGCGACAGGGGATGCTTCCATCCATATTTCGACCGCCAAGGCCAAAGCGGCCAGCGGCGCTGCCTCGACGACGGCCGTGCCGTTTGAGATTCAGTGGTCTGCGTTGATCACGCTTGCACGCCTCTGCGACGATGTGAGCCAGCGCGCACTGGCCGAGACGCTTGTCGACGACCAGGCCAGTGGCGGCTGTTATGGTGCGCTGCGGCGGTTGCAGGCGGCCGGTGGACCCTTGGCAGTGGCGGCGGCGTCGCTGCTGCACTCTGTCTTTGCGACGCTTGAGTGGTACGATCACAGTCCCGGCCGCGAGGGCGCGTCAGACGCGGTGTTGGTACCGACACTGGCGAGAGTTATCGAGCAGCAGTTGGACCGCGAAGAAAAGGAGGGTGCCGCTTCTGGCGAGAAGGAAGTCAAGGATGCCGACGAGGAAGACCGTTCGGCCGAGGTCCTTGGCCTGTCCTTGCAGACGCTGGCTTTGATAGGCACGACGCTCAAGGCGTCCCTTGAGAAGGGAAACAAGGACGAGGCCGTGTGGAACGGCATCCAGGACGGGGAGGCCGGCGAGGGCGGTGCCGCGGATGACAGCATTCTCTTTGAAGAGAACGGTGGCCACGGCGGCGGTGGCGACGACGATGAAGAGATGGCGGACGGTGACGACAGCAAGGCGGTTGGAGCCGACGACAGTATGGATGTCGACGGCGAGGAGGACGATGACGATGACAGCGACAACGGCATCGACATTGACCGTGACATGGAGCATGTGACGGGCGCGGACGACGAGGACGGTGAGAACGGCAACGGCGACGGCGAGGGCCTTGAGGACCTGACCATACTGCGGTCCCTCATTTCCGACGCCATCCCGCAGATTATCCGTCTCGTTGCTGCGCGCGCTCAAGACGCAGCCTCTGACTCAGTGTCTGTTCTGCTCGACGCCCTATCCGCCCTGAACAACATTGCCTGGACGGTGTCGCTGGTGGACCTGCGTGACGATGGCAATGCGGCCATCCGCTCTGCGTGGCGGCCTGTGGCCCGTCGTATATGGCTCCGCGTCGTGCGGCCGCTGCTGGGTCTGACGGCTACGTCTGCGGAGGCGTCGGTTGAGCTGCACGTCGCTGCCCAGGTCGCTGGTTTGGCCTGGGCGTTGTCGCGTGTTTTGGCCGGCACGACACCGACCGATGCCGGCGAGCCTGCACGTTTCATGGCGCTGCGCGAGGCAGCAGCCACAAACGGCGAGACCAACGCCGACGCCGAGGTTGAAGAGGACCCGTTCAGCAGGCTGCCCGTCAAGTGCATCGGCGTGCTTGGCCAGATGGCGCTCGACCCTGCGCCGGCCGCGCTCAACCGCGAGATTAGCAAGTACCTGTTGGGCCTCGTCAACGCAGCCGACCGCCGGGCAGCGCCGGCCGAGATTGTCGAGGCGCTGAACCAGCTGTTTGACATCTACGGCGACGAGACGGCCGACTGCGACAGGGAGGTGTTTTGGCACGACAAGCTGCTGACGGCGTTCGAGGCTGCTTTGCCCAAGACCAAGGCCATGGCCAAGGCGATCGACAAGCGGCTGAACACGGAGCTGCGCACACGCGCCGACGAGGCGGTGCTCAACCTGGGCCGCTTCATCCAGTACAAGAAGAAGCACGCGCCGGCGGAGTAGGCCGCGCAGGAGCGTCGATTCCATCTATCTAGCATTTGCATTGGAGTTCGGAGGCACTAAAAACGTAAATTGTATTTCTGCTATATAATAGAGGACCGCGGAGCCAAAACCAAGAATCAAGAATCACGAATCAAGATGCACGAGCCAAACGAAACAAAATGCAACGGCCCTGTTGCCTTGTCAGAACAACGCCATGTGACCCCCAATACGCCGTGAAAAGACACAATCCGTCGCCGATCCTCGTCGACGTTCAAAATACTTTGTCGGTCGTCGCCCTAACCCAACGTCTTTATCTTCTTCTTCTTCTTGCCTCCCTCGCCGCCGCCCGACTTCTTGTTGGAGAACTTGCGCCAGCTGTCGATCCGCTGGTCGCGCGTCGCCTCCCAGTCCTGGTCGTGCTGTCGCTTGCGCTTGCGCGCCTCGATCTCTTCCTCTTCGCGGCGCTGCTCCCGGCCTTCTTCCTGCATCTGCGCCCGCAGCTGCCGCTGTCGCCGCTGCTCGTTGTCGATGAGCACATACTTGGTCTTGTCGGCCCATTTCGCCTTGAAGTCGTCCGTCTTGAGTTCGGGGCTGTCCGCGGTCCACTTGTTTTCGCGCATCAGCAGCATGCGTGCGTCTGCAATCGCCTCGTCCAGCCGCTCGCGGTGCTTCTCGTCCATGAGCTCCGTCTGCGCCTTCTTCAAGCGGTCGAACGCGTCGGGGGCGCGCGGATTGCGTGTCTTGTCGGGGTGAATGAGGAGCGACTTTTTGCGGTACGTGATTTTGATGTCGGATTCGGTCACACCGGGCTGCAGGCCCAGGACGGCATACCTGAATCCGTTAGTGGGGAGAAGAGCGTAGAATTACAGTGTCAGATGCACAACATGGAACTCACGCATCCAGTCGAAAGGCACCGAGAATGCGCGAGATCTCCTCGTCCTTGACGGCCTCTTTGTTTTCCGACTCGAGAATGTTGAGCGCATCGCGCCCGTCGTCGTCGGCCATGGCGGTGGGTGTGTGGCGGGGAAAATATCACAATTAGCTGTACCAAAGCGAGTGATAAAAACAAAGCCAAAAGTCCCAGGACCTGTTGCTGGCCTGCGAGAGAGAAGCGTGATGGCTGTCGTCGTGATCGGGATCAGTCAAAGAAGTCAACTTGATGCCGCTGTAAAGCACTGCATGAAGTGACAAGGCTCGCTGTGACACAAAAGCGGGGCTAATCCTAGTGCTGTAGGCGTTGTGTGGGCAGGCACGCGGACAAAGCCAGTCGAGGCAGGTGCCCTTGGCAGACGGCTATCGATAAGATAAAGCGCCTGATAAGACTTTTTTTCTGGGAAACCGCCTAAAAAATCGGAAGGAGCAATGCAGACAAGACGCACCGTCGCACTTTCCTCATCAACTCGCTGCCAGCGGAGGACGATCACGGCATCTTTCCCCTTTTGTCACGAAGCACAAAAACAAAACCGATAAACACATTCACTCACTCAAACGTAGTGACGGACGGACGAACGCACGGACGCACGGACACGCACACCAGCCATGTCCGCCCGCTTCGCGTCTCCGACGCCGTCGGAGAACGAGGTCGACATTGTGGGCGACTTGTTCGCCGACGACTTTGGCGGCTTCGGCAGCGACCCTGACGGCGACAACGACGAAACAAGCAGCCGGAAACGCAAAAAGACAAAGGCCGCACCGCCGCTGCAAGAGGATGACCTCGACCTTGGCGCCATCCTCGATGGCGGCGGCTTCACCGACGCCAGCAATGGTCTGCCGAAAAAGAAGGGCGTGCTGACGGGCGCCAACCTGGAGGACGGCGACGACGAGGCCTACATTGCGCTGCAGCAGGCCGCCGCGTTCCGCAAGACGAGCAATCTCAAGGGCGCTGCGTCCGTCAAGGGTGGCGGCTTCCAGGCCATGGGCCTCAACCCGACGCTGCTGCGCGCCATCACACGCAAGGGCTTCTCGGTGCCGACGCCCATCCAGCGCAAGACGATCCCGCTGATCCTGGGCCGCCGCGATGTCGTGGGCATGGCCCGCACCGGTTCGGGCAAGACGGCCGCCTTTGTGATCCCCATGATCCAGCGCCTGCGGTCCCACAGCGTGCGTGTCGGCGCGCGGGCCCTCATCATGTCGCCGTCGCGCGAACTGGCCATGCAGACGCTGAAAGTCGTCAAGGAGCTCGGCCGCGACACAGACCTCAAGACGGTGCTGCTCGTCGGCGGGGACAGCCTCGAGGAGCAGTTTGCGCTGCTGGCGTCGAACCCGGACATTGTCATTGCGACGCCTGGCCGCTTCCTGCATCTCAAGGTCGAAATGTCGCTTGACCTGTCGTCCATCAAGTATGTCGTCTTTGACGAGGCGGATCGCCTGTTCGAGATGGGTTTCGCCGCCCAGTTGACGGAGATTCTGCACGCCCTGCCGCCGTCGCGCCAGACGCTGTTGTTCTCGGCCACGCTGCCGTCGTCGCTCGTTGAGTTTGCACGGGCTGGTCTGCAGGATCCGAGCCTGGTGCGCCTGGACATTGAAACCAAAATCTCGCCCAAGCTCAAGAGTGCCTTCTTCAGCGTCAAGGGCCCCGAGAAGGAGGGTGCCCTGCTGCACGTGCTGCACGATGTCATCAAGATCCCGCTGGGCCTGCCCGAGGCGGCCCTTAAGGCGCGCGAGGAGAGTCGGGGCAGCGGCGGGGACGGCGACGACGACGACGCCAATCCGCGAAAACGCAAGCGCCTCAACAGCGGCTACGTGTCCTCCAAGGTGGCACCCACGGAGCACTCGACGATTGTCTTTGCCGCCACCAAGCACCACGTCGAGTACCTGGCATCCATCTTGTCCGAGGCCGGCTTTGCCGTGTCCTACGTCTACGGCTCGCTCGACCAGACCGCCCGTAGAATCCAGGTCGAGAACTTCCGCCACGGCCGCACCAACATCATGGTCGTCACGGATCTGGCGGCTCGTGGTATTGACATCCCCGTGCTGGCCAACGTCGTCAACTACGACTTCCCGCCCCAGGCCAAGGTCTTTGTGCATCGCGTCGGTCGCACCGCCCGTGCCGACCAGGAGGGTAGCAGCTACAGCTTGGTGCAAGACACCGATGCGCCGTACCTCGTGGATTTGCAGCTGTTTTTGGGCCGCAAGCTGCTCGTGGGCCGCGACGGGGTCGAGGGCAGCCAAAAAGGCCAGTACGATCTGACCCGCGACATTGTCGTCGGCTCGCTCGCCCGCAGCTCGGTTGAACCGCACGTCGAGTGGGTCACGACGCTGCTTGGCGATGTGCACGACGTTGAGTTGTTGCGCCAGGTCGCGTCCAAGGCCCAGAAACAGTACTTCCGCACGCGGCTGTCCGCCTCCAGCCAGAGCGCTAAGCGTGCGCGCGAGATCGTCCGTAGCCGTGGCTGGTCGCAGCTGCACCCCATCTTCGGTGACAGCACGGACGCCGGCGGCACAGACGAGGACGGCGTAGAAGGTGCCTCCGTCGGCCTGGCACGCGAAGACCTGCTGGCCAAGATCACGGGGTACAAGCCGCAAGAGTCCATCTTTGAGGTCCACCACCAGAACAAGAAGGCCATGAAGAGCAAGGCTGCCGAAATCATGCGCACAATGCGGAAACGCGCTGGCCCGCGGCGCAGCGCCAGCGGCGTGCCCGTCACAACCGATGGCGGCGAGGACGACGGCCCCTCTGCGGCGGAAATCAACGGCGCGGATTACGAAGAGGGTGCTGCAGCACTGGTCAATGGTGGTGCCGGTAGCGACGACGACGATGACGACGATGCAGAAGACCCATGGGAGGATGACGATGACGATGGCGAGGATGAGGACGACAGCGCAGATGTACTCGAAGACGCGGATGCCTGGGCCGTCGACCATGACGAGGGTGGCACCGATGCCAGCGGCGCGGGGGCCGCCTCGTGGGTCGACAGCTCCGTGTACATGTCCTACACCCCCCGCGCAGGCCCCAGCATGGATGCCCGCGCCGTCGAAGAGCGCGGCTACGGCGTGCACGGCCGCGGCGGCGACGACGACATGGACAGCGGTTTCAACAGCTTTGCGCAGGCCGCCCGCGACGCCACCATGGACCTGACCAACGACGACACCGCCAAGGCGTTTGGTGTCCCCACGCGCACCAAGTTGCGCTGGGACAAGAAGCAGGGCAAGTACGTGGCCCGCGCCAACGACGAGGACGGCAGTCGCGTGCAGGCCGGCAAGGGCGGTGGCAAGATGATCCGCGGCGAGAGCGGCGTCAAAATTGCGGCGTCCTTCCAGAGCGGCCGCTTCGACAAGTGGCGCAAGGCCAACCGCCTCGGCCGTCTGCCGCAGGTCGGCGATGCCGAGCGCAGCGGACTGGCGCGCCAGGTGCAGAAACCCGCGGCTGGCGGCTCTGGTCCTGGCGGCCGTGGTGGCTTCAATGCCGGCCCGGGCACTGGTCGCTTCATGCACAAGAAGGAGCTGGCGCCCAAGGAGGCTGACAAGTTCCGCGACAACTACCACGTGCAAAAGAAGCGCGTGACCGAGGCCCGCGAGAACCGGGTCGGCCGCTTCAAGGACGGCGAGGGAAGCTATCGCGAGGTCAAGGGCACGGACGACGTTCGCAAGGCCCGCAAGGTCATGGAGCAGAAGAAGCTCAAGAATGCGCGCCCGGCACGAGACGGCGGTCGGGGTGGCGGCAGAAGTGACGGCGGCCGCGGCCGGGGCGGTGGCCGTGGCGGTGGCCGTGGCGGTGGCCGTGGCGGTGGTGGTCGTGGTGGTCGTGGCGGTGCACGTGGTCGTGGTTAGGTTTCGCCTTACTCGCGATCTTGTTTGTTCTTTTTTGGCTGTACGATTTTTACTATTCGTATTCTGGCATAGAGCGACGGCATCAAAAATTGCATTGCTTTTCTGACATATCTTTGTATGCATATAATTGTTGCAGCCCCTTGCAGCCCTCTACAAAGTAAACACGGCATGGCCCCATTCACGCCTCCTTTCTCCATAATACAGTTTGGTAATCCGAGAGGCCTGATGCTTTGATATTGACTGCATGTGTCACAACATCGAAGGAAGGCACGATGTCGAGATGAACGGCAATGCTAAGCTCTTTCCTGGCAAAGAGCCTTTTAGGGCTCCACCCCGCTCGGGCTCGTTGCCGGTCGGGTAGTGCCGCGGGGAAGTGCAACAGCTGGACAGAGAGGGAAAGAAGCAGACGATGTCCGCTGACAAGCATGCGGATCGCAGTCATATACAGCGTACCAAGAAACACACCGGTGGTAACAAAGCAGAAGCTGAAACAGAACCTGCGAACCATCTGCCCAGTCGGTATTGTGAGGTTCGTATATATTTTTTGAGCCATCAGCACGGTGTAGTTTATCCAGGCAAATCGGACTAAACTCTTTTCCACACATATTTTTGTTCGTCCATTTCATGTCTACCCCTTGTTCTTGCTTGGCAGTCTCATTCGTCCCTTTGTTCGAATGGAACCTCGCCGCGCTCGTTTCCTCCATAGCTGCCCCCTTCCTGCCAGCTTCGCTACTTAGCTCCTCTCCTGTCTTGCCGCTAATAATGATCGCCCATTGGCGGCAACTTCTGTCTCGTTGACGTCTCTTTGGAGCATCCGCTCTTTGGCCCTCTTGTGGTGCATGCCCGCCTTTTCTCATTGCTTCTCTCCCGCCTTTGCCTCGCATTTCTGCCGCCGGCAGGACCCGTATCCCCAGGTATTCCTATTTTCCCCTCGCCCGCACCTCAATTCAGGCGAATCGGGCCGCCAATTGACGTTCTTCGTCTAGATCTGGAACTGGTCAGCTCTTTCCGCCTGTCCCCCACCGCACAGGACTCTGCTCCCCGTCTTTCTGGCACACTTTTCTCACAGTGCAATCCTTCAAAGCTACCCTCCAAAGCCTCTCCACATACCTCGCCGCTTCTTTCCCCCCCTTCCTCCCGAGATGCCCACCTACCTTTGCCACGGCTTCCGATGGCACCGGCCGAGCATCCGCGTCTTTGTCATTGTGCAGGACCTCGAGGATGCTTCGCCCGACTGGGTCGTCCGCCCGGCCACCACACGCAGCCTGCTCGATGCCTTTGGTCGACTATTTGACTTTTTGCCGACGCAGGACCTCGAGACAGACGCAGAGGCCGAGGCAGCAGCTGTGGTAGCCGCCGCCGCCGCCGCCGCTCAGAAAGCCGCCGAGGCCACGGCCGCCGCAGCCGCATCCGCATCCGAGCAGCGGGGGCGACGACAGTCTATATCGCAGGCAGCACGCGCAAAGAGCAAGTCGCGCAAGGACAAAAAGGACAAGGAGAAGGCGGCCAAGGTGAAGGAAAAGAATGACGCAGCTGGCACACCCGGCGCAGCTGGCGCAGCGCCACTTTCCGGCCCCACACCGGTCGCAGGTGTCACGCGCCGTAACGATGGCCGCGACGAGGTGCTGGCGCGGCAAGACCGCTCGCCCATCAAGCTGCTCGAGGAGCACGACACACAGCGGCTGGACGAAATGTCGCGGCCCCATGCGTACGTCGCCGACTACGTAGCGCGCATCGACCTTTCGGCGTCCATTGTGGACGAGATGGCGCGGTACGAGCGGCTGCAGCAGCAGCGGTGGCGGCGCGAGCAAAAGACCAAAGACGGGTTTCCGTCCATGGCCGGGCCGTCGGAGGAGGGCGCGTCGTTGGGCGCTGCACTGGGCGCAGGCGAAGGCAGCGGCGGCGGCAGCGGTGCGACGCTGACAAAACGAAAAAAGGGGTCAGGCTGGCTCGAGCAGCTGCGGGACCAGCTGCAACGCGGCGAAGACATCCGGTGGTATGTGGTCGTAAACGACGATGAAGACCGAGCGTACCCGGGCGAAGTCGAGGGCGAGGAGACCGACGACGAGACGGAAGAAAACGTGCTGGCGGCGGAGGCACAGGCGGAGGCACAGGCGAAGACCGAAACGACACGACAAGAAAGACTGCGCACGGAGGAAGACGAGATTTTGCCGGAGCGACGACAACCCAGCTCGTTTGGCGACTTTATGGACGAGCACGGCTTCGGCGACAGCATCGCCACGGCGTCGTCCCCACCGGTCAGCAACCGCTACCTGGAGCGAGAACGCGAGCGGGAAAAGGAGCGACAAAGACAGCGGCTGCGCTTTGAGCTCACGGGCGATCCCAATATTTTGGAAAAATGGAACATTCCCTCACCAACATCAGCGACTGCGCCCCGCGCAAGCTACCGTCCAGGCCCGGGAAAGCCCACAATAACGCCTTCGTCGTCGGCGGCGTCGACGGCGGCCCCGATGGTATTTTCTCTCTCACGCAAGCCGTCAACAGCCTCACAACAAGCACAGCAAGCACAGCAAGCACAACACAACCAACAGCAGCAGCAGCAGCAGCAGCAACAACAACATCATCAACAGAATGGTCGGCGAGATCGATCCTCGACGATAACCAGCAGCCTCAACAGCAACAACATTGGCGACGACTTTGCCTTTCCACAGCCACCGCCAATGGTGCCCTCATTACGAGGACCGCAGCAACCGCAACTACAACCGCAACCGCAACCGCAACCGCACGCACATCTGCATCCGCAGCCGCCAAGCTCGCCGCCACCCATGCCGCCCCTGTCTCCGCCAACATTGCGCCCCAAAAAGTCGGGCGACTTGTCCGGCCTGCGACCCAAGACGCCCAATGGCCGGTCGTCTGGTGGTGCGAGTGGGTTCCGGCGTCTCTTTGGTCGGTCATCTAAGACGGCTGTCAATGAAGCGGCGAATCCGTCATAAAATTGCGGTTGCCGTGTAAATAAGACACGAGATGAAGACACAAGACCAAAAAATATGTAATATCCAATGCTTCTATCTATAACAATGCTTGAGTGCTATGACGAGAAAAAAATGACCGCCCGTGTTCAAGTAATGGGAACATAAAAAAAACAATGCTAGTGCTGGGTATGTACAAGAAAGAGACAGCCGAAAAGGGCCAGGCCATCAGAAACATGTGAGTTCAAAATATGTAATCCAAAAAGAGACAACAGCACCGCCCATGCTCTGTGACGCTTTCCAAGTCCTGCTCGCTTCAATCAAGATCGATGTCCTTCCTCTTTTGGCGCCGAGATGCTCAACTCCGGGAGTATGCTGTCAGCTGCTGGGCTCGATAGAGGGCGGTTAAGCGGTGATTGAGGCCCGGTCGTCGTGCCGCCCGTTGCCGTCACAGACACGCCCGTCATGGATGAAGACAGCGGCGACTTGGGCACCTGCTTCTGTTCCTTGGAGGAGGCACCGTAGGCCAGGTTGAGGTCATCGTCTGCCGCGCCAGTGCTGCCGTCGGGGGAGTCGCTTTCGTCGCCGGAGTCGTTCCAGTCACCCTCCGTCCAGGCCACATTGTCGTGGTGCGGCGGCCTCGATTGGCTGCCCAGGTGCGTTTCGGGCAGATCCGTGGCCTGGTCTTGGGCCTCGCGGGCGTCACCGTCGTCGTTGGCAGCATCCGCCTGAGCGTTTTCGTGGCCTTGGTCCGGCTTCTGGGTCTGCGTTTCGGCGCCGTGCTCGTCCGGCGCTTCGTACAGAGGCCGCGCGCGCTCGTTGTTGTCCTCGTCGTCGTCGCGCATGCGCGCTGCTGCCGAATCGCTAAAGTGTGCGTCCACCATGTGCTTCACCACAGGCCAGCCAAAGGCGTTGGCAAACATGCGGCGCACAACCATGTTGTTGTGCGCGTCGGGCTCCAGCTTGACGAGCACTTTGCGCCACGACAGGCCGCGGTGATACGCCCGGGCAATCTTTTCTTCGACCTTGATGCTGGACGTGTCAATGACTTCGTCCGGTTCGCGGTCTGGGTTCGTGTTGACCATGTCGTCGTAGTCCTGTGCCGAGAGGCCCGAGTCCATGTGAGGGACACTACCGGAACCGCCAGACGCCAGGCTCCGTTCCTGGAACGGCGAGGACGAACGCGACTTGCTGTTGCTCGCGCTGTTGTCAGCATTGCCACCGCCGCTGGCACCGCCCGGCGCGATCTTAGAGCGCTGTTGGAGCGACAGCCGCCGCAAGGCCAGGTTGCCCGTTGAGCGGCGCTTGAGCGGGGGTGCGGGGATGTCGGACGGGTGGTAGATGCGGTCGTGGAAGATGGCGCGCGGGCGCTTAGACGGGTCGATGAGAAACTCAACCGATGGTAGTTTGGGGTTGATAATGTCTGTGGCCGACTCGAAAAAGGACGTCCGGGGCGGCGCCGACATGCCGCCGCTCGTCGAACCGCCATTGGAGGCGTCCTCATCGAGCTCCTGGCCCGTTGTCACGCGAGACTTGCTCGACGAGGTTGATGTAGCCGTCACTGCATCCCAGTCGCTCGACCGCAGCGTTTGGCTTCTCTGGTATATCTTGCTTTGCTTGCTCCGCTTGGTCGATTGGGTGGGAGGGTGAGAGTGCTGGTCCTGCCCCAGGGCCTTAAGGTTGGACGAGGAGCCGCCGCCCGAGACGACGGACCCGTGCCGTGGTGTCGTGCCGGCTGGGCTGTGCGTCGGGTCGTCGGTACTGCCACTGCTGCTATTCTTGAAGAGGTTGCTGAAGAAGTTGCTAAACGGGTTCGAGTTGTTCGTCGACGCGGTTGTGAGCTTGCTGGGGTCGGGCGACAGTAAGGCCGGTGACGGGATGTTCGGCCGATCGTCGTGGTCAAACGAGGACGACACTGCCACCGCCCGGAGACTATGCCGGTCGTCGTCCTGTGTTGCGTTTTTGGACGGCTGTGGCACCTCGTGCTGGTTGTGTCCTTCGACATTTGGCGTGCTGGTGCCGCTCGTACCATTGTCGCCTGTTGCCGTCTCGGTCTTCTTTGCGCCGCTGTCGCTCACGCTCGTCCTCTTACCCGTGCCCTCGCTGTCCTTCTCGTCATCGTCATCGGCAAAGTCAACAGGATCCCACTTCTCGGTGCGTGGGGTCGTCGCATTGTTTCCGACGAGCTCTGCCCAGCCAAACCCGACCACTGTTTCGACCAGGCCGGCCTCGCGCCGGGCCTTTTCGACGCGGTCCAGTCCTTGCCAGTCGAGGAACAGCAGACAGCTGGTGCGCAGCGGGACGATGCCGTCGTTGACGACGTTGGAGTAGACGGTGCGGTTGCGGAACTTCTTCAGTGCCGTGTGGGCGGGTCCCGTCGGCAGGATACGCAAAAGCGGTTTGGACTCGGGCTGGGGCTCGCCCAGGACCTTTTTGTGGGCGCTGTCGCCCAGGTTGCCGACAAGCGAGCTCCAGCCACTGCGGGCAATGGTGGGCGCGCGCCAGGTCAGACCGAGATCCTGGCCGGTGCGGCCCACAAGGCCAAAGTCGAGGGCGAACTTGACGTACATGGGGTTTTCGTGGTTGAGGCCCAAAAACGGCGAGGCCATGCCAATGAAGTTGACAGGTTCAATCAGGTCAAAGAACTGCGGCGAGTGCTTCTGGATGTAGGCGACGGCGTAGGTCTGGACCAGGCCGCCAAGCGAGTGGGCGATGAAGCTAATCTTTGTGAACTGATACCCGCGCAAGCTCTCGGCGGGGGCGTTTTGGATGGTGCTGTGCTTGTGCGCCGGCGACCCACGCTCGCGCATCGCGTCATTCGGGTGCCCTCCGTGCAAGGCCACGGCCGCATTCTCCGACACTTTTTTGGTTGACGGAAGAAAGGGCTGGTCGGGATAGGTCATGGACAGGATGTAGCGTGCAAGGCGCTTGCCGAGATACTTAATCCCCCGCTCGGTGCGCGTCGCATTGCCCGGGTAGCCGCGCACAATAACATCCTCCTCATCTTCGTCATCGAGGTCGTCGTCGTCTTCCTCACCGGTACCTCTGTCCGACGCACCTGATTTCTTGCGTGCCTCGGCTCTTGCGGCCCGCTCCTTTTCTTTGCGGGCTTTTCGGTCGATCTTGGCCTGCTGCACAGCCACGTCGATGCTCTCTTTGATGTAGAGCATGTCACCGCCCAAGTTGCTGTGCAAGCCATGGGTTAGGATCACCAAGTGGATCTTTTTCTTCTTTTGGCCCGGTTTTGGCGCCGGAATGGTGTCGCGCGCCTGCTGCGTAGCCTGGCTCTTGGACTCATGATTCTGTTCGAGCGTCTTTTGCTGCTCCTTCTGCTGCTCTTCCTGGTTGTTCTGGTGCTTCCTCCCCAGTGCGCCGCCAGACACGGCCTCGACGGTCACGCCACTGTCGTCGGTTCGAATACGCATGGATGACGGCAACTTGCTCCAGCCGGGCAGCTCGGGCTTGTTCCACAGCGCTGTCGTGTCCTCGAGACGCATGCGGATGGCACGCGAAAAGACACCGCGGGGTTGGTCAGGGTGGCGTCCGTCGCGGCCGCGCTGGTAGTCGGTCATCCGGCCGGGTTGGAGGACCTGGCCGTGAACGCTGCCGCCACCTTTTCCACTGCCATGTCCGTCGCCGCCGCCGCCGAGAAGGACAGGCATGCCCGCCGTGATGCCGCCGCCGCTCTCGAGGGCTTTTGGATCGCGGGCCAGCAGGACTTCAAAGTGAACGGCCGCCGAGGTGGAAAAGATGACCTGGCTGCTGACGTTGATGATCCAGCTGACGCTCGGGGGGCTGCCATCCTCGCCCGCATGGGTGCCCGTGCCCGTGCCGGAGCCGGCGCCATCACGGACGTGCTCGGGCACGAGAAGACGGCAGGTCCAGCTACCGCCGGCCTTGAGCATGGGCTCGAACTCGGGAACGCCATACTTGCGCGGGTGGGCAAACTTCTCGTTGGGGTCGAAGTGAGCTGGGTAGGCGTCGACGTACAGTGTGTAGGGCCCGTGGACAAAGGCGGCGCGCAAGGCACTGTTGGATGTGTTGCGGACCTTGAGGTAGAGGTATTCGGGGGCGGGGAGAATGCGGTCGAGAGCGGGGGTGTATGTGACGTTGTAGCGGACGATCTCGCCGATTTTGACGCTGCCGATCTGGTGCATGAACAGCATTGTGGCGGATGCGTGTCAACTATCGGAAACACAAAGGACGGACGAACGGGAAAAAAGAAGAAAAGAAGAAAAGAAAAAAAGAAAAGAAAAGACAGGTCGTATGCCGAAGAAACTATCGCAGCTGTGCAGGCACGCTCCGCAGCGCAGATGGTCTTGTCACGCGACTCCAACGGTCGGGACACACCATTGCACGTGCAAAGGCGCCGAGGAGAGCCAAAGGGAGGACCTGGCGTGCGGGTGTCGTGGTCGACGACTGTTGTGTTTGTGTACGGAGAATTGTTGAGAGAGAACTCCCGTTTGCGGATGTGTGCAAAGTGCGTGGGAAGGGAAAGAGGAGACAATATTGTGGCGGTGATGTCAATGGGGCTATGGGAAGGAACGGCAATGTGGTTCTGTGGGCAGCGAGGCAGGCACGACCAGGTGCACGGAGTCGTCGGGGCAATAGCGTGGGAAATATGGGAAGGTGGGTGCGTTGAGACAGGTACGACGCTAGTTCCTTTGGTTAGCAGTTGCTTGATTCGTTCCTGCCTCCAGGTATCTTACTGCTCTTCCCACAGAACAGGCAGGTGCAGCATGGGGGCATGGCTCGCAGGAAAGAACCTGTGGGCGCTACCAGTCAGCAAAAATGAGTAATAGTCGCTAATAGACGCGAATAGTGCACAATAGTCGTACTCGTATTACAAAGTTATAAACTCAATGCAGCAATCGAGAATGGGGGCGTTTCCAGCGAAACACCATCGCGAAAAGAGTCCGAGACAGGTTGAAAAGAGAAAACACGTCGCGCTATTATTTTGACTGAAACAAAAAGCCACAGCGGTCTCGAGCATTGCAGATGGTCTGGGCTGCCTAGAGAGTCACGTGAGGCGATGTTTATTTATATATTAGACAGACAGTTCGCATCACGATAAGTCTCCATCACAACATATGTCGTACTTTACCATTATATAAGGAAATTTGAACTAGACTTATCTTTTTTTTTAAAAAAAAAAACAGACGGTCATTACTCTGGCGCGTCCTATGAGCTCGTCGCCGGTCAACTCACGTCTTCTTGTAAGTCGATATTGTGGTCTTGTTGTTTTCGGTAAGGGGGATTTTTCTTTGATTTATTAAGGGAGTGTTCAGTAGTATATAAGCATCTTCTAAGCCAACCGAGGGTGTATATCAAACAAAACGAAGCCGTGCAATAAAAACCTGAAAGAAAAAAACACGCCATGAGGAAATCAAAACAAAGCTTGCCGTAGAATCCAACGAAACCAAATCACACCGAGCGCCCAGACACCATTCTTTCTATTAATAACCAAGCATATGGTCAGTAGGAATCACCGACTGGTTCCATTCTATTCTTCACGCTGTTGGAGCAGTCACAAGTCCTGTGCACATATCCCCCCTACTGTGCACCCAACCCCTACTCCCCGCCGTGTCTTACGACACAGCAAACTTGGACATGGCACGGAGACGGGCGCCGTAAAAGTACAGCAGCCAGATGCCGACGATGCCAATGACCGACAGGCCACCTAGCACAGAGGTGCCGCGGCCGATGCCGAGATTCATAAACAGCGGGCGGCCAAAAAGGATGGAGCCGGTGGCAAAGGCGGACCGGAAGAAGTCGTTGGCGGCAAACAGGCTGGCGGCGTACATGGGGTACGACAGCGGGATGTAGACGAAGATGCACTGCAGGACGACAAAGACGGTGGCGCCGTAGAGGGTGATGCCGATGGTGGGCGCGATCCAGGGCACCTTGGGCGCGTGCTCGGCGGTCCAGCCAAAGATGAAGAGGCCAAACGTCGGGCCGAACGCGGCCAGCATGGCCGGGATCAGGCGGTCCTCGTTGGGCGGGAACTGGCCCGTGCGGGCGATCTTGCGGTTGAGGATGAAGTAGACGTAGAGGCAGTACATGGCGATGCCGAGGAGGCAGGCCACCAGGATGCACGTAAAGACCAGGCCGACCTGGCCGGGCGACATGCCGTAGGCAACCGGGTAGACGAGCGGGAAGGCCTCGAAGAAGGAGTAGTAGATGCCGTAGACAATGGCCGAGTAGACCTGGACAAACAGCACGGCCGGGTCCTTGAGGGTGATCTCAATGGGCTTGATGAGGGCGTCAATGAGCACCGCAAACGCCTTGCTGCGCGCGCTCTGCTTGGGCTTGCCGTCGGTCTGCACGCCGAGCTCGTTGTAGTCGGCGAGCTCCGAGGGCGCGCGGAAGCGGTCCGAGCCCGTGATCTTGCGCAGGCGGCGGGCGCGGCGCAGCAGGATGTTGGGGGCCGAGGTCTCGGGCAGGAAGAGCAACATCACAATGGTGCAAGGGGCCGCAGCCCACAGGATCTCGAGCATGGACCAGCGCCAGCCCTTGGCGGGGACGGAGTAGCCGGACAGCAGCGGGCCGAGCGCTGGCGCCGAGAAGCCGGCAGACACCCAGCCGGCCAGGGCGTAGGGCAGGTGCAGCAGCGAGAACATGTCGCCGAGCGAGGCGGCGCCGGACGCCAGACACGGCGAGCCGAAGAAGCCCTGCAGGAAGCGAAGCATAATGAAGCCGCCAAAGTTGCCGCTGCTGAAACCCCCGGGCAAGTTGCCGTAGGCGAGCGACGCGGGCAGCGAGAAAATGACAAAGAAGATCATGGTGACCGCATATACCGGGTTGCGGCCAATGGACGGGATCTCAGAGAGCGGGGAGAAGATGAGCGGGCCGACGCCGTAGCCCAGCACAAAGATGCTGAGGCCGAGCGCCGCGTTCGTGGCGTCGACGCCAAAGGTCTCCATGACACCCTGCTCCGAGTTGGTGTAGATGGCCGAGGACATGTAGACGCAGAAGGTGTACAGCCAGATGATGAAGCCGACGCCGATGCGGCGTCTCAGGCGCCAGTTTTGCGGGTTGGACCGGTCGTCTGTGGAGTACCAGTCGACGACAATGGCCGTCTCGTAGGTGTGCGCGGCGGGCTGGCCGGCGCCGTTGCTCTTGGTGCCGGTCCTGGTCTTGACGAGGCGCGGCACCACGACCTGCGACTGGGTGCGCTCGACGGAGGCCACATTCTCCACGTCGAGACGCGCCTGCGTGTAGGGCAGCGTCTCCTCGCGCGAGCGTTGGTGCTGCAGCGAACCCGCACCGCGTGAGCGTGCTGTCGAGGCACGCCGAAGAGCCGCGTACGGGTCGCTGTCGCCCGATGCGCCGCCATTCTCCTCGTCGTTGTTGTTGCCATGTGAGGCATCGTTTCCTTGCTTCTCGTCGTCGGACGACGTACCAGCTCCCGCCGCATCGCCGCCCTTGTCCTTTTCGTTAATGTCGGTCTCGTTGCCGTCGACGTCATCGGACACGTCGACCTCGCCGTTGAGCATCTGCTGCCACAGCTCGGGGATCTGGAAGTCGGCGCGTTCTTCGGGGAACTGGAGGACGCGGTTCTTGGTGATGTACCGCAGGACAGCGCCAACGGCGGTGTCCCGGAAGAGTTCGGCGCTCATTATGCCGTGTTCAGCGGGTGTTGATTATATGCCAATGTTGTATGAAAATAAGGTACGTAGTAGGTAGTATGAGGATGGCTTAGGATGGACGCCTTCAAGGTAATCAGAATGAGTGAGTATCGGGGTCGTTGCTGGTGATAGGTATGGAGGAAGGTTATAGTATTATAGGTGAAGAGGTATTAGTTAGTCCACTTCTCGTGAGAAGCCGAGAGTGGAAGAGGATGTTGGTTGGACTGGGTATAGGAAAACAAAATGATAAACTCGAAAAAGAGGAATGGGAAGGGCTTCTATATAGACTCTGGAAAGGGGGTCCGCCAGAGAGAGGGAGAGGGTGCTTGTGTGAAAGGAACAGGCCAGGGCCGGGCTGAATTAGACACAAATGTACTTGATAACTAACACATCAACAGCAAAAGCAAAGAGTTGAAGACTTAGAAGGAGCCAATTAGAAAACGGAGTTAGGAGACAGGGCCAGGGGACAGTGGAAAAGGCGTAGAAAGCTGCAGGGCCTCGAACTCAAACGTCAAGCGTCGAAACAGGTTTGTCATTCTGTTTCTCGTCCGGCGTGAACGAGCCAACAGCTTCTTCCCCGTTCTGTCAGATCAACTAATAGAAAAACACAGAACGTATTCCGGCCCCGTCTGACAAACACTTGGAGGTGGGAGATCACCAAGCAAGCACGCAATTACGAATGAGGCTCGGGGCGGCAGTCGTAGGGCGGCAGGCGTTGACAGACTAGTCTGTTAGTTTTTCATACAGTTTCTTTCTTTCTTTCTTTCTGTTTTTTACCTATTTTGGCTCCTCTTTAACTCCGTTTCTTTTTTTCCCCTTCCCATTCACCTCCAATGTTTGGACCGTTTTGCTAGCTGTTTTCACAACGGCCAGCGACCCGCAACGTTGTGGGCTTTCTCTTGGCGTCTGTTTTTTTTTTGTCTACGGAGTACATGTACACTTTGTTTTTGGATTTGTCCCCCCGTCCGGCGGCGAAATTGGAAACCCTTTCGATGCTCTACCGTCAGTTTAGGGGCCAATGCTTAAAAATCGGCGCTGTAGAGCCAGTCGCCAAGACGAATGACAAACACAGCACCAGGCCGTTCTTCCGCAAAGAAAATATTCAACATCGAAACCGCAAGTAGGAGGAGGGATGGCCGTATGCGTGTGTCGTATATCGCGGGAGCAAGCCTGCAACGCCTGTAAGCCCCAACAATAACAGTAAAAATGGGATCGCAACCTCGCAGGACAGCAGCCAATAAATCGTACAACACTTTGTCATGCATGTTGAATGGTGCCGGCTGTCCTCCATTCAGGTGCAGCCTCTGCTGGTTACCGAGTCAGTGGCCCGTTCCAGCGAAAACAGAGCATACCACACACAAAAAACATCGACTCAAAAGATACAATGCGGCCCAATGCGAGATGATGTCAGCCGTCTTCTTCGATCGAAGATTGCTAACACTCGGGCGAGAGTCCGACCGAGTCGTGAGACGTCCCAAAACGGAGCCATCCGGTGGGTTGGGACAGGGCAGGCTCGCCCGATCCTCTGCTTTGCATTCTCTGCTTTGGGAATCGTGTTGAGAGGTGGTGGGTGGTGAGAACTACCGGTGCTAATGGCAGTTAAGGCAAAGTGAACCGAGAGAGTGACGTCTGGCCTTCTCAACAGTTGGTGTGTTCTGGTGTGGTTGGAATCTTATCTTACTGGGCAGGCGCGATTTGTAATACGAGGGGCGCTTACAAAGGAAGGCACGTTTGTTTTGGCGTATGTGGACGGCAGGAGGGGGGTGAGACAAAAATTTAGGTCAGGAACTAACTACACATGCTGTAAGTCGTATTCTGTACGCTGCTACTACGGGGCTCTTTCCTTCTTTTTGTGGGGCAAAACGGTGGACGGGACGGTTGTGGCAGCGACAAAACGGTGATCCAGAACACCGCACCACTAATTCACCGTTTTGCGTGCACCCCTTTAACTCCGGTTGGGCACGCGAATTGAATTTTCTCGCTTTTTATTGCCATTCGCAATGAGTCTGACTGTTCTTTCTTTCTATCTATTTCCTTATCCCGTTACACGTGTGGTCGTTTCATGATTGCTGTGTGGGGCCGCCGGAGCTCGCTTCTTTCTAGTTTGGCATTTGGTCGTCCGCCAAGCCGAAGTGACTCTTTCATAATACCAAACGGGGAGACGAGAGACTGGAGACAGGAGACAAGACACGTAAATACGTATCCGTGTGTTGAACGTTGAAGACACGACGCCAGCGGTCTTAGTGGCAGCGCTATCGCCGCCTGCTCTGTCCCATCCTATGTACAGTTTTTCACATTCAAGTCTTAGTCACTTGCTGGCGTGGCTGTCAGCAAAACGGTTTTGCGGTGTTTGATGGGGTGAGATTGGTTTTTGGCAACGTAATTACGACGCCCTTTCAAATGACTGATTCTCTGTATTCCTCGCTTTCCACCTTCACCCTCTTCTTCACCAATGGCACTGTGGAGATCTCACATGGGCTCGTCGTCTCACGGCAGCTATCTACCTTCTTCAAATACTTCGTAGGATGCAAGTGGTGGGTGGACCGGTGGGGTCCAAGGCCATAACGGCGTGGGAGGCAGGCATTGACTTCCTTATTAATGGCTGACTGTTATAGTTTGTTTGTGCTCGCCTTGTTGGCAGAGGATTGCATACGGGAGATACTGAGTACAGGTCCCGCATCCCAGAAGACAAGATACCGGAGTAGAGGGAGGCAATATTCCTCGCCTGTACGAGCACGGAGACGGACAAGTGTTTTGCTTCTGTCTTTCTTTTTTGTTTTCCTTGTTTGCAGCGGAGGTTCTCATCCGCCCCAACATTCGCTCCATTTTTTATCTGTTTTAACTTTTCTCAACGTGAAGTCTTCCCGTCTTGCGGTCACAGTTTCTCGCAACTTCGCAGCTTCCGATGTCTCAATAATTCCGAATACGAAGACGAGATGATGGTCAACCTTGCGGCATGTCTGGGCATTCGTGCATCGCACTCTGTCTGTTGTCTGCATTCGATTTTCAAAGATGACCGGCCCCGAACCGTCCTACGACTCAAGTCGTAAGCACAATGTAATTATCTGCTTCATAGCCGACGCTGCCGTGTCTCCGAGACCAAAGTGTCGGCATCCTGGAAATGTTATGCTGGCCGGGTGAGTCACTTATACACAGCAGAAAGTAAAAGGCAAAATTAGACATGATGTGTGGACGTGAAAAAGAACAACGTGAAGATGGTATCTAACCACGAAGCCAACCGGCGATACTGACAAGTTTGGCGTAACGAAAGCAACACGGAGCGAAGTGCACGTTGTCTGTTGTGGGGCATCGTGCCGTGATATCTACAGGCCAAAAGCAAAAAGAAATTCACGCCCTACAATTCGTACAGCTAGTCAAAATCAGAAGCAAAACGAGTCCAAACTGCGCCACAATGGTGGAGAAAGATCGGGCGAGACGTGAGAGGTGTAAAATACGTGAGGTTGAAGGGCGTTTGAAAGGCGTGTGCTCGATGTCAAACCAAAATATACGGCGTGTAAAATGCAAGCCAAGCGGCTGGTCGTGGCAGGGCTGACGACTGAGGCGACTGCCAAAGATCGCTTGGCAAACCATTGCTCCTTGCAGCGGCCCATCACATGAACACACGTCCGCCTATTACTTCGCATATGCTACAGCGACAGCTCGCCGCGGAAATACACGTACAGGGTGCAACGAAATGAGATCCGCAAAACGCCCGGAGCGGAGAGAAATAACACCTCGAAACGGCCGACAGTCTCACCAACATGCTCAAAATGGGATCCAAGGGCGCAACAGGACAAAATAAGACAATGGCAAAGGAGGTGAAGCAACCGAAGCTGGGTTTGGTTGTAGTAGCATCGTCCATCATCGTGCTGCATCCCGCTTAGCCGTGGTCCCACAGCCGCCAGGCCCACCCGACCAGCAACGACAGAAGAGCACGCCCTTTGTCATCAGCAGATCAGCCAGCACCAAACGGGCGTGGCTGGCGTGTGTGGAACTTGGTTACGGGACCTGTCACTTCCTAGTGCTCTAAAATACTGTAAATACGATACAATATCTCTTTACACACGTCTCCGTGAAACCGGCGGAAGCTGACGGCCAGGACGGGGCAGTGGGTACGATGTACAGAGATGGGTACATGAAATGGACAAAGTACGAGATCCTCGTGCGTCGTACAGACAGATCTCTGGATGAATGATTGGAGACAGGAATACGACTTACGCCCTGACACCAAAACGGAGCACAACAAAATTTCATGGACACGGGTAAGGCGTTAGCTTCTTTAAGATCTGCTCCGCAGAGCACCTGGCACCCGGTACTGTGCCGGAAAGCACTGTAGTCCACAGTCCGATATTCCGGCGGAGGATAGCACGAGCGACTAAATGTACCCACTGTTTCTGACCGTATCGAGTGACGCTACAGAGGGAAAAGGGGGCTACATCGTACGGATGGGTCACTTTTGTATTCCATTCTTACAGCAGCCATTTCCCATTTTAAGAAACCGCTGACCTCAGCTAAACAAAAGGATTGAAAATCAAGATGACCCGGCCAAACAAATACGTAAGATGCCGCAAGACCGTGGTAAAAAGAGAACCCGAGAGATTCGATGCGGCCGTGCGCGACAAATTTATCTGAGATCTCCAAGATTCCAAACTTCCACAGCGGAGAACGGAGAACGGGGAACGGAGAACGGGGAACGGAGAACGGCGAACGGAAACCAAAAATTGTCGACTGTTTGCTCCAACGGAACACGAAATCGCGTCGACTATTAGTCGAAGCCGCCAAACCATTGATAGCTGAGGTTGGCCAGAAACACAGCCGTCAAAAGCCAAACGTGTTCCCTTGTCTCTGGTCCGTAGTCCGTCGTCGACTGCCCATCTTTGACGGATGCCTTGCCATGTCCCTGTCCTCCCTTCCCTGTACCTTATTACGTGAGATGATCGTTTGCAGTGCTTGTATCATGTTCTTTTCTTCGCCGACGGGACAGAAATAAACTCTGTGCCTACACGTCTTCTTGCTGGCCGTCACACCAATTCCCGGCCTTTTGCCCGCGTTTTGGTCCGATCCGTGGCCAGTCCGTTGTTTCCGAGTATGTGTGTCCGACACGGAGCAGACACGGCCGTTCTGTCCTTTGCCGTCCACTGTTGCATACGAACTAAGATCTCTGGCAGCTAGCTACCTTGTACCATCACATGTGGTTAAAGGTGAAGCAAAAAAAAAAAAAAAACGACGGCAACCAGTATGTGTCATCACATTTGTTTGCCGTCATTCAGGTTGCACAAATGCTTTCTCAATGCAAATTTCGGTCCTTCTCACATACGAATATGTTTCCAGAGTTGCCACGGTAAAAGGAACGATGGCAGCATGACGATACGATGATGAAGAGGACGATATCGTCGCCGCATTTTACGTTGTAGTTGTTGATGCTGAATAAGTGGGGCATCTCTTTCCCCCAAAAAAGCAGGAACGAAAACGACGCTAGTGATCGTCCACAGTGGCGCGCCAATGGCACAAACGTACTTTGTACGATGTCACACAGTAATACGCGTCCAGAAACACGACCTCGACGCCCATTGCGATCTACGGCGTCCTCGGCATCAATGTGAAGGTCTGTCGTCCGTCACGACGCCAGAGCAAACACGAAGATGGTGCGCCAGCGACGTCAACCAGCCCTCGACTCGACTCCTCCTTCCAGGGCCACAACAAAACTGACAGAACCAACAAGAACGACCGCCTCCTCCTCGCTGCGTCGCGCCATGCAGGACGAGTCGGCTGCCGAGCTGCGCACCCTGTCGGAGCGTGATGGCGTCGACAGCATCGCCGGCGGATACCGTGATGTGCCAGAAACATCGTCACCAGCATCGCCAGCATCACCAACATCACGAGCACCACCAGCACCTGCACTGCCCACCAAGACCACCTGGCTGCAGCGCAACCAATGGATCGCCCTGTCCCTCGCCAGCGGTGCCTGCGCCGCCTTCAACGGCGTTTTTGCAAAGCTGTATGTTGCTGGGGCCTCTGCGCCCGACACCATACCGAGCGCTCGCCTTTTCACTGTGCTAATCTCGTATCCGCGTCCAGGACCACCACCGAGCTGACCACGCGCCTGTCGCAGGCCGTCGCCAGTGCCCTCGGCCTGGATGCTGCCGAATCGGCCGTCGAAGTGGTCGTCAGAGGCGTATGTCTCCATGCAACGTCCTACGTCACTCTTTGTTGTGTCTCTTCCTCCGGCTAACCTACGGTTCCTATGTGCATCGTGTAGACCTTTTTTGCCCTCAATCTCGTGTTTAACGGTGTGGTGCGTTTCCCCTCCCCCCGTTCCCCTTCGAACCAGTACCAAGTACCTCCGACTCACCGGCAGCAGATGTGGACCCTCTTCACCCGCGCCCTCGCGCGCGGCCTCTCCGCCACCCAGGTCTCCATCATGAACACCTCGGCCAACTTTGTCCTGACCGCGCTGCTGGGGTTTGCCATCTTTTCCGAGGCTCTGCCGCCGTTGTGGTGGGTGGGTGCGGCCATGCTGGTGGCCGGCAACGTCATCATCGGGCGCAAGGACGAGGGCAAGGCCGATGCGGCGGCGGCGGCGGCGGCGACCACAGCCGAGGGGGATGCAGACGACACAGACGCCACCGCCATCAGCCACCCGGACCCGGAACCGGACGAGGGTCGCCGGCGCTCATCACGGCGGCTGGCGGCACAGCGAGGAAATGCGTCCGGCACGAAGACGTCGCCGGCGTCAGCGCCTACCGGTCGGTACAAAGACGAAGAAAGTAGCGGTGACGAAGACTTTGCCCAGATCTAACCAACATGGCTCATGACCTGACATTGGTTAACAGTCGCAACACATCTTTCTCTTGTAGTTTATATGTTGTACATTAGTAGTACATGTCAAATCAAAACTTCAGTATACAGTCATCGCTATTTACGCGTGGACTAATACGTGGGCATGGTTGAACTTTAGTTCATTCAATTTGGCTCGCGGGTTTCATTTCAACAGCCGCTTTTTTTCGTGACTCCTTCTTTCTCTCGTTGGGACAGCCCCTTTTATTTCTCTCGTTTCCAAAGCCCAACCAAATCATGGGATTCTAACTGGTAATGTGCCGCGACAAATGTGACAAAAGAAATTCAATGAATGCAAATCAACGCCCTGGGGAATAAAACTGTAGTCGTCGTATGCAACAGACCAGTTGGTACACCAAACAAAGAAGAAGCAAAGATGCACGAGGGGACGGTGTTGCCACCTAAAACGAGACAAAATAACAAAAATAAAGGAAATAAAAAGAGAATTACAAAAGTTTGTGGAGGATGGCCAAATAAGAAAAATTGTTGTTCCGGGTGCAAAGAGCGAAGGAGCGGATAGTCTCGGTGATGTTGAATAGTATAAGAAACGTAATATCGAGAGAGAAGGCGCACGCCGACAGCCAGGTCCATGGTGCCTGTTCCTGTCTGGTCGTGCCCGGAGAGCGGATCCATTACAATATACAATATCGTACACGCAAGCCATGCAGCGCAAACGGGGAATACGTTTACGCAGGGTACCCTACCAAAATGTTAGCAAGAGCAAAGCCGATAAACAACACGCATGCGACAAAACTTACACCATGAGCAAACAGCAATGATGCAGTACAAGCACATCAGAAGCATGCCCTCGAGCCAATGGCTCTTGCCGTCACCGATCAGATAGTTGACCAGCAGCACCGAGACGAAGAGAACGGCGACCTGGAAAATATCAAAGCTGAGCGACATGTCGTCGAGATCCATGCCCCAGCCAATGACAACTAGCAGCGGAATCAGGAACAACGCAACCTGCATGCTCGAACCAACAGCGACACCAATGGCAAGATCCATCTTGTCTTTGACAGCGACAGTCACAGCGGTGGCGTGCTCGGCAGCGTTGCCGACGATCGGCAGCAGAATCAGACCCAAAAACTCCTTGCTGATGTGGCCCTTGGTCGTGACGTAGTCGATGCTGTCCACGAGGAACTCGGCGCAAAAGGCAATCACCACCGTCGAGCCAGCAAGCACGCCGAGCGCGACAAAAAAGTGCAGCTGCGGCTCCTCGCCCTCGTCCTCGTCCTCGGGTCCGTTCACAATCAGATCGTTGACCCGCTGGCGCTCCTCGTTCGACTCGTTGATGCCGTTCATCTTGGCGACGTTGGCCGACCGAATGATGGCGCCCTTGACGGCGCCCTTTTGGATCGAGTGCTTAAAAGGCTTCGCAGGTACCTTCTTGCTCTCCTCGCTAAAGACAGCTTGGTGCGTCTTGAGCTGGAAGAAGAGGTAGGCCGCGTACACAACAAGCAGGATAATGGCCGTGCCGCGCGACAACATGGCGACGTCCTTGGTCGAAGTAATACTGGCGGCGTCAAACACAGTCGGAACAATGACACCGGCGACGGCCATGGCCAGCAGACTGGCCGCCGTCTGCGCCACAGTCGTGTTGAAGTACTGTTCCTGGCGACGCATGCCACCAAAGAAGAAGCACATGCCCATGACAAGCAGCAAGTTGGACAGAATGCTGCCAATCAGGGACGTCTGCACAATGACAACCTCGTTCTTGATCAGCGCCATGATGGCGACAATCAGCTCGACGGCGTTGCCGAACGTCGCGTTCAACAGACCGCCGAGCGTCTCGCCCGTGCGAAGGGCGATTTCCTCCGTCGCGGAACTCAGCATAGCAGCAAGCGGGATGATGGCAATAAAATTGACGACAAAGATCGCAATGGGATCGACAGACGTGAAATGGAGGGCGATGCCGACGGGCGCAGCCAGGAGGAGAAGATTAACGTAGGAGTTCAAAAACGTACGCTGCAGCTGGTTGGCGACCGTAAACGGCTCCTTCGGCTGGACATTCTTGAACATGGCGTGCTCCTTCTTCGGCTTCTTGTCCTTGTCGTTCTTGTGCGAGTCGTCAGGCTCGTCGGCGCCGCCCGAGCCGGGCCGATCGCTCCCGCGGCTGCGGTTCTTCAGGCCGTCGGGCGCGGCTGTGTTGGATGAGCCGAGCGAGGCTTCGCCAATCTTTTCGTTGGGGGGGATGCCCTCCTCGTCGCCTTCTGTCAGGACACCGCCGACAGGTGGTTGTGCGCTCGCTGTGATGTTGTAATCGCTGTTGAAGCGGCTCCGTGAGTTGTAGGATGCGGATGATGGTGCCGGTGCGGTCATAGCGTGTCCAACGGGTACACCAATCGGTTCGATTTCGCGGTTGCCTCCGCCGAGGCCAGCCTCAACGTCGACATCGTCGTTTGTGGCGCCAGGCACTATTGCGGGGGACGTATTTCTCCGTTTGACCCAGAGGTGGGCGAATGGGTTGAAAGTGTCGCCGGTCTTGCGACTTTCTCTGTGCGCCTCCCTCTTGACACGAAATGCGTCGACTATGTGATTGGGCATATTAGCAATGCTATTCTGGCGTTGTGCGCCGAAGCCTGCCTCGAGAGGCGAGTGGGAAGAAACGCTGCTTCCGGAGGGATCATCAATAAAGACGGTGCCTGGTTGCAGTCGGGAAGAAAGAGTGCTGAAAGAAACGAGATTGGGTGCAGTGAATGGACTTCGGTGGACAGGTCAAACAGGCTGGTGCCGAATCAGGAATAAACACGAGATTGCAAAGACAGGGGGGCCGCGCGTTGCTAGGAAAACGGTAGCAAAGTGTTGACCAACGAGCCGTGTTATGTCGCCGGGAAATGGTAATAAAAAGGCATCAACGCAACAAATGGCACCTTGCGAGGTAAAGAAAAAATGGGCGAGGGAGACTGCGATTAAAAGCAAGAAACAAAAATGTTTCAGAAACAAGACAATTGGAAATGGTTGTGAGTGTGTGGGTTGGCGGTTGAATCGGAAGGCAAGTGAAGAAAAGGAGTGCAAGTAAGGCCCGTCGGTCAAGTGGGCAGCAAGGCAAAATTGTGCCTAAAATGGTGAAAACCAACAATGGAACCCCGGTGCATGCATTTTGGAGGAGCCAGGTGCAGCCAAGGTGCAGACAAGGTGCAAGCCACGTCCAACGAGCAGTAAGAATGCGTACCTAGTGCTTTGAAAGGGCAGTCACCGAGCACCGCACGGCCAGCGCAAAGCCTAGTAAAAATCTCGGCGTCCCGCAGAATCGGCCTAGTGCACCGAGGTGGGTATGAAAGGAGGGTATGGTGTGAAGTAAAAAAGGGGGCGCAGCATGGGGCGGAAGGTCGAGAAGGAGAAAGGAAGGAAAAGTGCAGGGACGAGGAAAATAGTGCGATTTTGCGATGGGGCCCTAGGGGATCGGGGTTCAAACGGGGTCAGAATCTTACACGACATGGTTGCTTCGATTTCGAAGATAGAATTGTCAGTCGACAATAGACAATAGGTTTCGAATAGTGCGCAAATTCTGATGTGGACGTCGAGGTTGTGTAGTGCGACTGCAAGTCTAACCTGGGCGCGTGCTCTGCGAAAGATCCGGTATATGGAGAGATAGTTTCGATAAGGGACCCAAAACAGTGAACAGGCTGAATCGGGGATCGGGAATGAAAAGGACGGTCCGTAGTAGAGAGTGTGTTGTCCGGGCTGTGATGATGCGGTGAGAGATGGCACTGTTGTGTAAGTGTGTTGACGGCCGGTGCTAGGAAGCAGAGCTTGGGAAGTCTCCGATTCTCGTACAAGCAGGACAACAAGGTGGACAGCGCTGTATTTGAAGCTGGGCACGGCGCCAAGAGTTCCGCCAGGCGAGGTCAGGCCTCCAAGCAAAAACTGAAGCAAAAGCGTAGAACGTGCGAGACGAGGCCACGAATGCGACAATTGGCAATAAGGCGACAGGAACAAGGACTAGGAAGGCGTCGTAAGGGTTGCTGCGGACGGCCAAACAAGGTGGAAACTAAACACGAGTCCGATGGCGAGAGGTAGCGGGCGAGTACAACACGTCGAAATCGTGGCTTGTGGTGTGTTGCGTAGACTGGCAGGCAAGAAGGCGGAGCGTTTGTCGGTATCTGTCAAAAATGCCCTAGTAATGAATGGCAATGCCGGGCGTAGGTGGTGGAGCTAGACTGAGCCTGAGCTTTGTGGCGCCGGAGAGCCTGAAGAGATTTGGTAATGGTAAGTATGAGATATTGGCGCCTGTTGGCAAACGAGGTCAGCCTTGTGCGGTGCAAGGCAGAGGGCGAGGTAGAATTGGGAGTAACCAAGACGACGATCGGACTTGTGAGGCGCATAAATAGTGGACGTACTAGTCGTGAAAATGGAAAGTCTTTTCCAAAATCGAATCGGAATCAAAAGCTCTGAAATTAGGTTTCTGGAAAGTCGTTGTTAACACGGAGAGCCCTAAGCGTGAGGCGCGATTGGCCAGTCGAAAGGAACGGAGCTGGGCGCGTAGGGCAACATAAAGGCGGATGGCAATCGCTTTGAATGGGCGCTTGCGGTCAAAACTAGCCAACATCACAGACAACCGAAAATCGAGAATAGAACAAGGACAAAGAGGTGAAGGGATTCAGGGGCGCGGGAGAGAGCAAAATAAAGAAAGGGGCAGAGATGAGAGGCAAGAAGCAATAAAGGGGCATACAGCGAGACAAAATTAGAAGTCGCCCTGTTGTGCACGCCCGCGAGGAAGGAACATATCAATGAAAGAAGGCGCGAGGTCGTTGCCCGTTTGCGTGTCGTGTGACAGCGACAGCCTCCTTCCTTGCATCACTTTGTTTTGTTTGCCGGTCCAACGTACCTTGTCAAGTGAATCCGTAGATTGTGTGTAGGTTGCTCCTTTGTTCTCGCCGCGAGGTGACAAGAGCGGCCGCAAGGGAGGTCCGCTGAGGTGTGAAGGAAGAAGGAGCGATGCACATGTAACTCTGAGCG